TTCCAATTGGAAAGTAGTTCGCGTTAAAATAATCAAACAAAGTCTTCAGGTTTTTGATTTCATTTGTTTTTATAGTTAAGTATAGGTAAGGGCTCTTTGGTGTAATAGTAGAAATGTATGGCTAATAATCAATAGGGCGTGGCTTCGATGCTCACTGGATACATGTTTTTAATATAATAAAAATTAACATATTGGACTTCACCACTGTCCACAGATGAAAAGCCGATTTAATTGCGCTAGTCTGTAGCCAAAATAGGTTGACAGCGAGTTGAGAAACAGTATAGTATAGTAGTATGTGTAGACCTAAAGCTGTTAAACTGCGAATTCGACTCCCGCCCGTGATATAATTTTGTCACTCTAAAATAAATGTCAATTTAGTTAATTTAAAAATTAAAAATTTTCGACTCGGGCAGGACTTGAACCGGCATCGTCAGCGTTCCGTGCTTTTGCTCTACCAATAGTCCTACACCATATCGTGGATTTTTTCAACTTTTTGATACATGCACCTTTTGCGCAATGTAATTTCAACCTTAACACTTGCGTATTAAATTAGTTTTTAAATATTATTGATCTTGTTGAAAAAAAACTACCCAGTGATATCTTAAATCACACGTCACAACATTCACAATCACTGGATGCGCACGCGCCAGGTAGCGAGATCAAAAGCCACCTGCCCAATTGTGACATCACACATAACAAGCCGTAATCTGTCCACGGAATGTAGGGGCTGTTTTTATGTTAAGTGCTTTTAACTGTGATCTAAAGAGGTACTATTCTAGAACAGAATCGGGAAGTGATACCCCTTTCTATATAATTATTGTCTGATTTACAGTCTTATAAATGGGAAACCTCTTTTTCTCAAAGTAATGCTGGCCATGTCCGGTCACAGTTAGGTTGTCCATTTTAACAATCTATTTATAATCTACAAGGCAAGGATCTTATGTGCAAATAATTTGTTTTTCACGGGATTCGAACCCAGTATCCTTCGCGTTAACGCAGTTCTGACCGCATAAGAGATAATTTCAAGGATGTTCTGCTATCTTTTGTCCATTTCAAATCAATACTAAAACGGCGAAATCTAGTATTTTTTGGTATGGCTATTTTTTTAAATTGTAACCTATATACATTACGCATTTTCAGTGATACCATTCTATTTTATTATTTACAAACTGTCAAGCTCGTTCTATCGAAAAAAATAATATTTTTTTCAAATTATAATTACGTCTAAGCTGTGTTGTCATCACCGAAAAACGAATTCCGCCGCGATCGCCAATTATTTCAATTAATGAAACGTCGCGGTGTCGACAGGAAAGGGAAACGAGGGCTCAAATCGTGGCTAACTTTAGCCGATTGTGCACTGAGTGACAGCTAGATTTGATTAATTAATTTTTGGTCCCTTATCCTGCTCAGGGTTTCCAGATGCAGGAATAAAGCATCACAAATACTGTCTGTAGTTTATGCGAGTAGTACACATTTAAATATAACACTTTAACGGTTTAAAACGCGCTATATATTAGGTATATTTGTCAAATAAGTTAACTAAAATATATCGCGATTTAAACCGTTATAGTGTTTTATTTAAAGGCATACAAATATTTATAAAACAACATTAATCATTAATATTATCACGCCTTGTCATTCGTCCCACAGACATACCTACACCATCCATTTAGAATGAGAAGAAGAAGAAGAAGAACATTAAGATGAACGATATGCTGAACAAAAAATTGATATGAACTATAATTTTAAAGTGTATAAAATGCGAAATATTCGTTTAACTGGATTAGGAGTTTATTAATAAAATTCGCGACAAGTGCACAATAAATAACAAAATAATTTAACGGTTTAAAAATCAACTAGGTATACCTATTTGCTGTTCGTTTAAACTACGACCTGAAATTCGGATGATTTACAGCAGCTAGTTAAAAGTATTAAGATACATAGTGGTTAGTAGTTAGATATATGTATATAGTCTCGTTTCCCCTGTGGGACAAGGGACGAAAAAATATGATTAATAAAAAAAATTATATTAAATTTCTATGCCCTGCTCGACCGAATCTATCGTATCCCCGTTATTTAAATTCTAACCCTCTCACCGTTTAACCATTACGGAGGTAGTCTTAAGGTAATATATATATATTAATATAAAAATGTGTCACGTATTAGACGTTTTCAAATCTGGTAACCCTAACGAGGGTATAATAAATCGTGCGTGCGCTTTGGCCTCCCGTGAGATGTCGCCAGCATCGGACACACCGCTGAATAAATGATTAACTCAAACGCAAAGATTATACGTCCAGAGTCTAGACCGAAATAGCCAGCTAACGACGTCCAACAGGTAGATTATAATGAAGCCGTCAGATTTAGTTCCGTTAGATCATTAAAATCGAAAGATATTCTGAGAATAGAGAATACGTTTAATATCTCTTTGAACAATGTAACTATTAGTCACGCGTTTTGTCTGTTCTTGTATGTCAATATTAAAAATATTTTACTTATTATCTTATATAAAACGACATTTTTAATGGAATTGAGGTAATGTTGAAAACTGGCAACACTTCTTGATATAAAATAAAATATCTAAACACTAATAAAAAAAACATATATAAAAAAGTAATCTTATTTGACAAAAAATTAACGAAGCTTTTAATTATTTTTTTAATTACTACAGATAATTAATACATCTACATATAAAAGTGTTGTATTTATTATCTATGGAGTAAACACCGTTCTATAATCTTTGTCATTATGAATCATTTATAATCTGCAAAGTCAAATAGCTATAGACAAGCTGAGCCCTATTAGTGCATAGCTAGATGAAAAATAATAATATTTCCGTTAAATAAACAATACTAAGCCGACACAGATGTTGGAAGGGTCGTCCTTTCAGCCAGCATTATAAAATCCGGGACAAAATTTTAGTTATTAATAATGATATCGGCGCCGTTTCCAAAAACCGAGCCGCGCCGCCAAAGCGTTGCACATGTGCGGTTAGTCGCCATTTTAAAAGTGATAATTTTACGTTTACAAATCTAAGACTTATAAGAGGAAGATTAGGTGTTACTTAATTGAAATATATTATAATTGTTCCAGTGACTTTCAAGCAGCTTGCAAAAATATATTTCCAACGTCCAAATTTATTTTTGCAACCTTCTCAGCTTTAGCAACTACGTCGGGTCCCGTCGTTCTTGCAAATTAATCTTTACACAACGGAAACCCACAAAGTTGACAAACGTTCCACGTTTTTTCCACATTTCCTGCTCTTCTTCGCTCGTATTAGTCCCAGCGCAATTATTTATATAAATTCTCTAATTAACACAAAAAGAATTGTTAAATTCGAACCAGTAGTTCCTGAGGTTAGCGCGTTCAAATATACATACAAACAAACTCTTTAGTTTTATATATTAGTGTAGATTGCAGATTTATATTATCGTTAATAATAAACCTGAAATCAACTGAACGAAGCCCGTTGTCGGGAGATATTTATGTAGGTATATACTGTATATGTATTACGTTATTATTAAATTGACATAGGACATGCGGGCACATTTGTATGTCCGTTTTACCGATCGCTTTTTAACGGATCAGGTTCCCGTGTTCTGTTAGATATAAGTTATTTAATTTTCTCGATTGACATTTGATATTTGCACACAGTCATGTAATTGAGAGTGAGTTTAATTTATTTGCAAACTAAACAACAGGCAATAGTGCACTCCCGTTATTCCTGCCGGAAACACATAAGCGCTACCATACGTTACTTCCGGCAAATCGTATTTTGCCATTCTATACGCAATAGGTATTATAATATACATATCTACGTGAAACTTTAAAATCAACATCAGTTAGGTAGTCCCTTAAAGAGACGAGAATTATTGTTTTTATAAATTATTATCTGGGGTAAAACAATAACACTCTTTGTTTACTTCTCTACAACGAATGTTAGTCAGGTAGCTAAAAACTGTGTTTTGACTTGGGGTAGGCGCCTTATCAACTATACAATTGGTTTTTTTACCTCGGTACCGTGAAGGTACAAGATGTGTCACTCGTTAGACATTACAAATACATTTCAATAAAAAAACTATCTCTGTATTAAAACGTAACTAAGAATTAATGTAGGCTTTTAAATGTTTTACACCATTTTTTTTTATTACATAGGTTTAAATATGTATTTTACTTAGTAGTAGATAAAATATACATTATAGATAAATAATACCTACAGTATTCATCTGTGTATAATGAAGGTAGGCCTAAGTTAGAAATAAATAAAGAATCACAAACAATAAATATATAATAAGGTAATTATCATCTTATTTGCATTTTGCACGAGTTGCAATAATAATTACCAAAAAGTACACATTTTTGCTTATCAATCAAACGTTTGCGTACACTGTACGTCAATCACAGTAGATCTACCTTCGCTATAATTTCATTAGATACCTACAACTTCTTGTGAAGTTGTTATTTGTGTAACGCTAAAATATAATCACTATGGTAACGGAACAGTAAAATCACCTATATTGAAGACTATTTTTGACATTTCAATGCCAACACACAGTGATGTTGAATTAAACAAAGATATATAATTTAGATCTATTCAAATATATCCTAATAATATTAATTCTGATGTGCGTTTTCTTTAATTTTAATCATGTGGGTATGTGTTAGGCCAGAGATTATGCGAAGTCTATGTACCTATGTGTTAGTACACAATTAAACAGTAATAAGTGCCTAAAGAAAACCTATAATGTTTATAATTTTTATCATTTGGTTGGACGTTTATTCAAGTTATATTGTCTATTACCATGAGTGAAGTTTAAAAATCGAATTATGTCCAACTAATATTTTGTATTAGTAGGACGTTTCTTCAAATTATATTGTCTATTTCTGTCAATAGAGATAATTTTAAAAATCGAATTTTCCCAATGGTTGAACAATTTTCAAATTTAATTGCCCTTATAAGTTAAGTGTTTTTTGGACGTTCATCTAAGTATTGCATTACGATGTCTAGAAGCAGCCACCACCGTACTCACCACAGGGCTGTCGTCACCAAGATCCGAGTCACGGTCGGCGTCGGCCATCGCGTACGCCGGCACCGGCTCACGGTTCTTCACCCGAATTTTGGCGGTTTTCGAAAGCACGAGAACGATAACACGGCACGTGCCCAAAGGCCCACTCGCGGTTCGTGCACGTTCGATATACGCGTGTGTCACCGCGGCGCGCACGGAATGGTATGGCGTGGTGTGCTCTCGCCCCCCTCTACGGCATGGCCCCGCCTAAAGGCGTCCCGCGTCGTGGCGAATCGAGCCGCGCTCTATCAAATTGATACACCGCGCTCCGCCTCTCGCGCATATTGTTTTTATTCGAAATATAAAATAATCGAACGCGCTATTGTCGTGTAATTGGTTTGGGTTTTGTTCGCTGGCAACACTTGACGTTTTTGCGCGTTCTCGTCGTTCGATCGCGCTGTTATGTTAATTATAAATGTGTTATTTACAATTAAGTTATAATATACATTCTATTATGTACCGCGTTTTTTTTGACCGCCTCTGTAGTCAAATGGTTAAACCTATTGCCTAGCATAGCGCTAAGCGCGAGAGGTCCTGAGTTCGAATCCCAGGGAGACATAAATAAAATATTTAAAATAACTTACATTTCGTAAGATTAGCGTATATTCAGTAATTTCGTGTTTATCTATATTGTAATCAAAGTTAATTAAAGTAGATATTACCTGTATTTTAATTTATTTAATAATAATACGTTTAGCTTTTCAATATAAAGCTTTTTATAAAAAAGCTATAATGTATTGGATTTAAAATACTTAGTCTTTCTTGTACGTAGGAATTTTGTATGAAAGTAAATGTAAAATTGTGTTCTGTACCTACTCGAGGAAAGCAAGCTAACAAATCTATAGTATTTTTAAACTAAAGCAGTAATCATTACGAAGGTGTAAAATTCTTTATTCGGTATTTATCTACGTTTACTTTAAAACAACGTTTGAACTAAGTACCTATCCGTGGGATCGTTCAAAACCCACTTATAAAGCAGAAAAGCGTACAGGAAATAGGCACACCGAAAGGCACGGTTACACATAAATCTCGTCTACCACTAGTAGTAGGTTATGATTCTAAGGGTATCTCAGATTTGTCCCACAGAGGGCAAATCAAAATTGTCTATGAAAATTGCGTGTACGCTGTCAACAAATTTGATCCGTAATACTGCCCAATACAAGACTATACAATGTATAGTCTTGTATTAGTTAGAGTGACCTACCTCAAAATTTAAGTAAAATTAGATAAATGCACTGACATTACTATAATAACGCCATCATCATAGTTTTATACGATTTGCCAAAAAAGTGTTTTTTTTTTAATTAGGTCACTGTAATACTAAGCGTGCGACATATTTGCTGATAGCGGGGCCATCTAGAACTTCGCTCGAGTTAGAATTTTAAGACTTAGGCTATATACCTAGCTATTTCAATTGTATACTGTCTATAGTTCACGCGAGTAGTACACATCAAAATAAAACACTTTAACCGTTTAAAACGCGATATATTAGTTAAACTTAAATCATTTTCAAATGAAAACTTTTAAATCGATTTTGCTGCAGTGATCACGTGGTCAGTCTCCCGTGACCACGGCTGCTGCAATATATAATTACCTAATATATCGCGTTTTAAACAGTTAAAGTGTTTTTTAAACTATCTTAATGGTATAATGTATGATGGCAAGTAAATATTTTTTTAACACTTTTCCAAATATTTATTTACTTAATAACTAAGTAATTAAACGAAAAGATCTTATGTATCTATTTAATTAATGGGACCGTTCAAGTATTACATAAGCACTATAGGGGGGTGGGGGGGTCTTTGTTTTGCTTATTTTTGATGACATGGGGGGTAGGGGAGTCCAGATGATGATTACGTCATCGATATTTATTTACTTTCTGAATTAACTCACTTTCTTATTTTTTAAATTCTACTTATAATATAAAAAATAAATTTTTAATTGAAAAATGTTTACGTAAGCACGGGGGAGGGGGTAAAAGCTTTGCTTACTTTTGCTGACAAGGGGGATGGGGGGGGTAAATAATTGTAATAAATCTGCTTACGTAATACTTGAACGGCCCCAATACAATATTGGGTGCCTGTATTATAATTTGTAAGTAAAGATGGGCACAGACAGCAACAATTAATACAACAAGCGGATCAATCGCTTGTCGAACTACGTCGCTCTCTGAACCAGTTTCGCCGAGTGCAAGTTATAAGCGAGCCGCGAATAAGTCTCAATTCCTATATATTCGGGTTTGAAACAGCTAAAAATTACAAAATGCAGAGCTGTAACAGTAAACCGCATGTTGCAAACAAACACAGATATAAAAGTAATAAATAAATAAATAAAATATGTTTATCGTCACTCTCTTGTCAAGGCATAAGAACACACACGTGTGTTTGTGTGTGTGTGTGTGACAGAAGCATGTGTATGTACTTTATAATTGACTTGTGGTACTAGTCTGTCTTTCACTAATAAATTTTAATTATACCTAGACGGTTAGACCTATGTTGCGCTGCTATACCGAAATTCTGAGGTACCTTTGTTTCCGTGAAAAAAACTTAGGATTTTTCCTATATGCAATAACGTAGGTAAGTAATAAAGTCCCACCGTAAACATCTTATTAATATCAAACATTTTGGGAAACGTGTTTCTGTTGAGAATACCGACTAGATCTTTTACTCTTATCGTAGTTTAATAATGATAATGCTATTTTAAGTTCAAGACTGGAGTCAGAAAAAGTTACTTAATTATTGAATTGCCTATTACGATTTTCGACATCGCATACAACAATATTATAGCATGCTACCTACCGAAATGTTAATTAAATCTACTTGTATGCAGACGTAATAAAAATTAGCTTCATTTATAAACAAACCTAGAATTTAATTAGTGGTAAGTACCTAACAGAGGTGATTCAACACCACACATGCAATAGATTTTCTTTGAACCCGCTTGCGCTCGTCACTTGGACCGCACAAGCAGTAATCGCTCGCGGCTGATTGATGAGCCCTCCCCCCCCCGCGCGTCCCGACCACCGTTTAGTCTTAACTGATCCATGCCCAAGAGATCTATTACCACTCTACCTTCACATACTTTTATTTCTCACATTCGCTAATGTTAATGTCGGATTAATTTGTTTTCAGTTAGAGGAGGACAGACAATAGGATTTAATTGATGGTAGGGGGCCGTTCAAGTATTACGTAAGCAGATTTATTACAATTATTTACCCCCCCATCCCCCTTGTCAGCAAAAGTAAGCAAAGCTTTTACGCCCTCCCCCGTGCTTACGTAAACATTTTACAATTAAAAATGTATTTTTTATATTATAATTTTAAAAATAAGAAAGTTGATTCAGAAAGAAAATAAATATCGATAACGTAATCATCATCTGGACTCCCCTACCCCCCATGTCATCAAAAATAAGCAAAACAAAGACCCCCCCACCCCCCCTATAGTGCTTACGTAATACTTGAACGGTCCCTAGGTAAAATACCAACCTATTTTGACTTAGGATATTCGGAAGTACACAGAGTAAAACCGAAACGCGATAAAACTGCCCCGCTTTATTATCTGTGGACAGTGGTTCGTGACCTGATAGAATTTTGATATTTCTACTACCCATTTAATAGCTATCTAGATTTCCAAACGAAGTCCAATGTGTTTCAGACCTATAAATTGATCAGAAACATATTAGACCCGTGTTAGATTCAGGTAATTTAGTTTTCAATTTTATCACAGAGGAGAAATAACAAGAGAGAAGGTCATTTGGTGTTTAGGTACTTGAGCCCGGTATTATGTTATTAAGATGAGTTGTCTTATTTTAGGTCTGTACCACGCGAAACGTAACTGTTTGAAACGTGAATTTGGTATATTTTGCAATTTTAATCCGACTTTTAGAGTTTTAGCTACTAAAACCACCGCAGACACATCTGTATACAAATATGGCACTGCTCTTTGAGAAAAAGTACAATATTTTGAATGCAGATTTGCACTAACCTGTGCTGTTTATGACACATGATACCTAGCACAATACAGCACAACAGCTCAATATGCTACTTTGCAGGGAAGCAGTGCTAATTATTGATAAAAAATAAAAAGAAATAAATAAATTTTATTTACTTTCTTATTAAAAGTATCCAGCTCAATTTGTAGATGTCGCTACTATGCAATAAATGCCCCAACCATACAAACAGTTGCATTAGTGGTGGTTTTAATGTAGTTTAGAAAAACAACGAGAGATGTCACTAAGCACACAATTTTTACACTGATGATCCAGGTTTTGAATTCCGGTCCAAGCGTAATGTATTTCGGTATTTTGGGACATATTAAAGAAAAAATTCTAGAGTTTGAACACTGCTTGACCGTAACGCATGTAACAAACTTAATTCAAACATAAAAAGGGTGTACTTCCGAAAACGCATACTAAAATAAATACTAAATTTGGTCTACTTATGTATTTTGATCTCCTAATCACGAATATCATAACGAAGACAACGACGACGACCTCCTTATAATGAAAATTGGCGCAAACGCCATTTTGAATATGAAAAACCGAAACAGAAGGCTTCTAACCTGAGTGGAGAATTTTACTTAAACCTTGCAGAAGACAGTAAATATCTCAAATAGTCTACATTGGTTAGAATTGCGTGATTAGGCACACTGAACGAAAAGAGTTTTTTTTTCGATTTTCATATTCAAAATGGCGTTTGCGCCAATTTTCGTGATTAGGATGTCAAAATATATAAGTATACCAAATTTCAGATCGATCGGCGGTATACGCTTTTCGGAAGTTTATCCCAGAAAAACATCGAACCATAGTTAAAAATAAATAACGAACTTTTCACGCTAAAAACCTTTTTTTTCGTTAAAAGGGCGTCTTATTTAATTCCGATTTAATGAATTTCTTCTTAAAAGCGAAAAATATCTTTATATGAGTCATAAAAAGCTATTTATTACTTCTATAATTAAGGAAGATGAAATATAATATCCGAACAGGATGCGCTTACCTATTTTGACTGTGGATATTCGGAAAACCAATAAATAAACTTATTAAACTAGTCAAATTCCCAAAGATATTCCTAGCTGTACTTTATTAAAACAATGATCGACAGCTAACAAAAGGGGCATTTTGCCCACCCCAGCCCTCGAGCTAGACATTGATAAATTAACAATAATATTGCGACAAGACTCAGCGAGAAAATTAAATTAACCGTACAATTTTATTGCCCCCTAGTTCTACCACCTATGTACCTTAAATTATAGGATGTCCGAAGAATGTTGACATTTTTACATTAACACGTGTTTTGAGTACCACACTATAGTAGGGTTGCCACCATCAGAAAAAATAATATAAAATTTAAAAAGTTTGGCATATCTGTGAGTAAATCCTATATGTGAATATTTTTTTTTAAATATTAAATTGAATTTAACACATTATGTTTTGAGAAATAGAAAAAGTAATTATGTGTCGGATAGACCATTTATCCTAAAGGGCCTTAGGTTATAAAACATACGACTGCAACCAAAAGGAACGAAGAAAGAAAGAGAAACGTAAAAAAAACGGATTTAATCATCAACGAAAGCCCTTAAAGAACTTCCGTTGCGTACCGCCAAAAACCATGTAAGAAAGTCTTTCGCCTTTAAATTATTTAAATATTATCCACGTATGTATGTTTTAAGATTATCTCGCAAGAACGCTTTAATTTAAAAAGCTGAGGAGCTTGCAAAAATAAATTGTACGATGCCCAAAATAACTATTCCACGCGGACGAAGTCGCAGGGACAGTCAGGTAAAACTAAACGCTGCGAAGCCCTGTATCTTAGGGCTTACATTAACTAGAAAAGGAATTATTATTCATTATTTGTTGTCGGTCATGGGACGTATTAGCTTATTGCTTTTTGCGGCGTTCTGCATTCACTAAACATTAATGTACGGTCGCGGTTTACTCTGGCCAAAGAATGTTTAAGTGTTTCTTAGTAAGTTCAACGTGAGAACGAATGGTATATTAAGCATTGCCACAGAAAACATTAACTAACAATCTTATAGGAATATTTTAAAACGAGTTCAAACGTGAATTATAAATTAAAAATCAATTATAAATTGAAAAAAATTACGACCTGGACAGACTTAAATCATCATCGTTAGCGTTCCGTGTCGTTGCTCTAACCAATTGAGCTACCAAATCCCATTGAGCTATATACATGCACCTCTCGCGCAATGTTCCTACATTGCGCGAGAGGTGCATGTATATAGCTCAATGGGATTTGGTAGCTCAATTACGTCGGTAGCTCACTTGGTTAGAGCTACAGGATGGATAGTGGCACCATGGGCTATAACATGTAAAAATATAAAAGTTTCAAATCAAATGTGAATTATATTTAAAATAGTATATCCAATTCCGATCGTATAGTTCTCTAGTTTGTTTTCGTAATACTGAGTTTTTCCATTGACACAGGCAAGATTTGAACCGGCATCCACAGCGTCCCGTGCTACTGCTCTAACCAATTGACTTTTAATTTCTATAATGCCGCCATGTGCAATAACATTAAAAAAAAGTTTTCAAACAGAATTATTGTGTTACAAAATGAATTCTGTAAATATCTTCCTTTCACGTTGGTTACAGTTGTTAGGGAAAAGAAAAAAAGAAATCAAAGACAATCGTTTTATTAAAAAAATTACAATTATTATAAATTTTTACAAAATATTACAGTTTTTTGTTGTTTTGCATTCCTTAGTTTCGTTCAATTTCGTCACTCGATATTGGCCAACATCGAGATAAAAATAAATGCTACTCACGTGATCGTTAATAGGGTTGCCAACATACAAATTTTATCTTAAATTATTACTTTTTTAAAACTATATTTACTACATACAGTGTTTACTGAGACGTTATAAGTCCGTATTTAAATATGAGATATTTCTGAGATAGTTATTCTTCTTGGCAGCCCTAGTGATCGGATTCAAGGGGATGTTATAATGGGAACGGTTTGTTCCCGAGGCTGTTCAGGCTTAGGGATATCCTTTGCTGGGCCAGTTTTGGTAATGGGAATAATCCTTTCTCCAGCTACTGGGGGTGGCCTCTTCGGAGCAGTGATGGTGAGAACACCGTCAGAAGACAGCGAACTGATGATATCAGCTACATCATAACCAGTGGGAAGGATGTAGCGGCGTGTGAACTGGCGAGATATGAACCCGTGCTCGTCCTGTTTCTCCTCATGTTTACCTTCGACCAACACTGAGTTGTTGGACGCTTTCACTGTGATCTCTTCGGGCGCGAACTGCTGGACGTCAAGTATAACCTGAAAATGAAAGCAAAGAATATTTCCTTTAGATAATATGTAACCGAAACATGATGGAGCAAGGGGTTTGAAAACTTTAATATTCTTCACATGCAATAAGCACACGATGGCGCAATATAAATTTGAAACAAAATATACGCTACGAGCAGGACTTGATCCGGCATCGACACCGTTCTGCGCTGTTGCTCTAAATAATTGAGCTACCGTGTTCTGCACGTCGTCGTCGATTTTTTCAACCTATTGTTACTTGCAATGTAATTTCAACCTTAACACTTGCGTACTTATTGGTCGGAGCCGGTTCAAGTTGATTTCTCATTAGAAAAATTACCTCAAATTTATCCTTAGTCAAATTGATCGTGCTCGAAGACTCTTGTCTCGCCAAGTTTGTCCTCCAAGGCCTGAAGTAGGAATTCCTGAGGAGTGAAGTGGTGGGGAGCGTGGAGAGAGACGATAGAAGATCATCCCTCCTCAAACCCATGCCGAAGTGCTGGTCGAGGAGCCGGGACGGACGCTCCCAGTCATCCCACCAGTCGCGGAACATCATTGGGACTATAGACATCTGGAATCTGTAAAATATTTGTAAGTCTTTGTAAGTTTTTTTTTAGGGAAACTCTTGGTACTCTATCGAAGGTACTAGAATTTTCTTAGACTTAAATAAAACACTTTAACGGTTTAAAACGAGGAATAAAAAAATCCAAATAAATTTAATTAATATATATCGCGTTTTAAGCTGTTAAAGTGTTTTATTTAGATGTACTACTCGTATAAACTGCAGACGGTACCTATTTTTTTAGACATTTAGAGTGAAATCTCGTTTTATCTTCGCAGGGCATTTCGTGCTCAGCCGGACTAAAACAATCGATTGTTTCCTCAGGATTCAAACGCAAGACCGCACGCGTAACGCACTGCTAGGCAACACGTTTAACCGTTTAGCTACAGAGACGAAATCTTAGACTTTTGCAAATATTTTCGGCCAACCCGGTATAATAATACTTTTAAATCAAACACTTTAACGGTTTAAACACGATATATATTAGTTAAACTTATTTGAAAATTGTGTTAACGTGGTGACTAGAACATAGAGGGTGTCTCTAATTTAAAAGTAAATACTGCTACGCTAGCGCCATCTGTTCCGTCGTAGTTAAAATAATGTTAAAACGAGTATAACAAGTACATATCGCGTTTTATACGGTTAAAGTCTTTTTATTTTATTGTGTACTCGCGTAAACTACAGACAGAACTACGTATACTTGTTTGCGCCATCAAATGTAAAGATAATATAGCGAGACATCAAAAACTAGAACAACGAAAATCTGGAACGTTTCCATCGGTGATTCACCTGAAACCACTTTTAGATCTGATGCAACAGAATTCACAGCAGTTATGCGATGAAGATTATATTACCATCGAACAATGTAGCGAAATGAATATAACTTATCTATATATTATAAAACTAAAGAGTTTGAACGCCCTAATCTCAGGAACCTTGTTAGAATTTTTCTAAGACCGTTTATCGAGAAAGGCTTTACGCTGTATAAAATCACGCTGCGATCAATAGAAGCGAAGTTGCAGGCACAGTTAATCATAAATAAAAGAGACAAGTACAAAAGACCGAGATTCGAACACACTTACTGCGATGCTAGGCAACACATTTAACTACACCGGCGGTTTTGCGGATAAAAGTACTTAACATAACCGTTACAAAAAAATTATAATTCGAATTATTTTATTATCAATACGATAGAACCTGACGAAAAAAGGAAGTTATGATATGAAGGGAAAGTAAGTTGATCATTAAATGAAACTATATATGAGGCTGCTAGAGGCAGAGTGGCCTAATAACAAACCATGATTTTCAAAAAAGAGTAAAATAAAAATGCGCATTTAACTTCGGCTAAAATAAAATTGTACTTGAAGATTATAATAGATTATAAAAATCTCAAGTCATAAAATTACAGTTAGGCTACTCTGGCTCTAGCAGACTCATATTTTAATGAAACACTCACTTTTATAATTGTTTCGTTGGCGCGCGCCGCGTTATCGTTGTCTTCGTATCGTGAGACTAATACTACGGAGTTTCAGTTGAGATTTAAATAGAAATTTTCAGCGGCCCACATGAAGTGATTCAACGGGTGCGCCTTGAACTTGACGGAGATGGAGTGACCAAGATTTTGATGGTAATAGGATATTTTAAAAAACTCTTTTACCCCATTAACTTGGGACGAACACATTCCTGTGTCCCTGTTGAAAAACTGGGTATTACATTAAAGTTCCTTCTCGCGGAGGAATTTCACTTTTTTGTTAAACGCGAAACCCCGTTGCCCCCTTGAGGTATGGAGCAACCACATTTCTATGTTCAATTCCCCCATCGGTTTTATTTAAAGGCAAGTATTTGAACAGACTGTGCCCCTGCCGAAGCGAAACAATCTATTCTTCAATCTATATTATTTCTCCGAAATTCGAACCCACGACTTCTTGATCTTACCAATGCCAGACTACATGTTTAACCATTAAGCTGCAGAGGCAGAATACTAGATTCGTAATCAAAAATGTGATAACATACGGCACGTTGCTTTCGTCTTGCGGGATGTTCTGCGCCTGTCAATACTTTGAAGCATTTTAACTTGCACAAAAAAGGTTTAATATTTTCACAGAAAATTTGAGTCATATCGCAAATACTCTTTCTATGAAAGAGGAGGCAGATTGACATTTCACGAGAGCATGGGGTCCATTTGATGGAAGGTATACTTCTGGCATATATGAACCAGATGCGTTGTCACGTGTCGACCTATTTTGTTTGTTTTAATTGTATCGTTTATAGTATTATTGCATTGCTTACTGTATTTAGTTTCATATTTCAAATGTATTTTATATCTGTAATGGCAGGATTTGCGTGTGTGTGTGTGTATGATTAAATAAAAATTTAAGACAAGTTAAAAAAGAAGTAAACAAAAGCCAGTACTCTTTTTATTTTCACTCTTTAACAATGATGATATGATACCAAGTTCTGATATTTGAAAACCTTTTGTTTTTTCCTCCTCCCACAAAGTATAGTCACATTAGTGTCGTCTGAAGTGTTTGAATTAAAAAAGACATTGAATCAAAAAGTGGGTGTCTTTCGAGAATAAACACTGCATTTTTTGTGGGCGTAATGATACATACAAAATGTTATTTTAATCTTATTGTCTAATTCAACATACCAGCTTTTTGGCGTCACAATTCACGTCAATAGATTTTTTGTCATATACATTTCGTCACTTAGCTATAATTGGTCGGAACTGTTATCGACAGTAAATTTAGAAATGCATGAGTTAAAAATAAATTTAACAACGGATCAATGATTTGTCTGCAATAGCGCAATTTATGTGAGGTTGACTACTTTTTACATTAAAAACATTGTGTAATACCATTGACTGAGATTTTTTTGCGAATATATAAATTATTTTTAACAAGCAATATTAACTCAAACTTCTGAAGCGAAACCCAAAATTCTTTCGCTAGACGAGTCTGATATGAAAAATATAATATTGATGTTGTTTATGCAAGGCAGTGTAAATTGAAAGCAAAAAGTTTTAAGTTCAATAATGAAATCAATATATAATCCGATAATAGATAATTTTATAAAGCCCAGTCGCCATTAATACAAAAGTGTATTGTGTTTTTTATCTGTAAATAGATCCTTTATTATGTCAAAAGCATTTCAAGCGATTCTGTGACATTGACAGACAAAGTAATGTAACTTATCAAAAATGTAATTGAAAATTGAAATAGGCACCTTATTAACAAAAATGAGTACTTATCAATTTTAAATAATAAGTAAGGAGATGTTATATTGTAGTGAGTGGATAATATGTTTAAAAATAAAAAAATCAATAATCCCTATATTAATTAAACAAGTGGGGAATTATTCATTATATACAACAATATCAAAAAACGCCGGTACACCGAATCGTATTTATCAACATTATCTGGTGTTTATCTTTATAACCCTTCACCAATACCACATTTCCAAATCGAAGTGAAGTAATAATTGCTTAACACCGGTGGGGAAAATGGCCTACAGGAAATGATGCGTTAAGATTTCAGTTATAGAATAAAACAAAGTCTGTTGTATATAAACATGTTATTCTGGATTCAGCATAAGTGGTCTGGCCTTTGGCTTCTAATATTGGCTTTAGGTGGGATCAGCCTGTTCTTGTATGGATTTTTCCCATTAAAATACCATTCAGGAAAACTGGCCCATATGGATGATCTGCCAAATTTTATTGACGGTGTCAGGTTAGTTTATAACTCTTGTAAAATACATACTTACATCCTTTATATGCATATAAAAAATTTAATACATAAATTAATAATTTATTAATTTATTAGTTTAAATTTACATTTGATTTATGAAAATACAATGTTGCAGAAATCTTGAATCTTATTTATGTTTTAAATTAGATTGTACAATCTCGTCTTGATATGTTTGAAGTGAATGACGTAAATTATTATTAATTTTTCCTTTGGATTCAGACCTAGGACCTCTTGTGCTTGAATTTCTAAGCAATGCTACTCTACATTTTTACATGAAGGTGATCCAAACTCTTGTGTTATCAATTGTCTCTGACCCTGATAATTATTTCCATCTTTTTAATAAAATCAAGTATGTAAACATACCATGGTTTGCTCAAGCGATTCTAAATTGTTTTCAGCATTGATGGCCATGAAGTTTATAACTCTGGAGAGAACAGTGTGATTCTTATGGTCATAGATGGCTTACGCTATGACTTTGTAACCGAAGAGTATATGCCTTTTACTGGCCAATTATTAAAGAATAAATCAGCGTGTATTTATGTATCTGTGGCAGAACCACCAACGGTCACTATGCCAAGGATTAAGGTAAGCTGAATATCAGGGAATTAATTTATTGATTAGAAGGGATTAGATTTTGTATATATAAAAATCTAATCCCTGTATATATACAGGAAAGACATGGTATCTGAATTAGTCAGAGCTGCAGCATTGCTCTGGATGCATTGATGTTGATAGTTTAAGTCCCATCCGTGTAATAATTTGTTTGTCTAAGTAGTAATTATTTATTAATACAAAAAATATTTGCATAGTTTGTTTAAAAAAATTCTTAGGTATATTTTTATATAATTTAAGTCTAGAAAGACATATAACATAGAGCAAGAAATAATAACAACTTATAAAAAGCTGATTAATGGTTCTACCCTAATCCATGTAAGTTACTCACAGCGCCAAAGAAAAAAATTATCTGAAATCAATAAAGCTTTAATTTCAAATACATTATATTACACAGTCCCCCGAGCGTAAGAAGGAAAAGGCACAATGGAGGCGCACGATAAACTTCTGGCGGGACATATTTGCAAGTGTCACTTTATGTAATTATTACATGCTTTTAAGTGAAACCAAAGAAAAAACACAAGAAACATACTTTTATAATACAAAACCCTTTACTTTTAATTCTTAAATCAGTTGTGAGTTTTTTCTTTGGTGGTGGGGTAATAAGCTTACAGTGTTTCACTACCATTTCCTAACTTTTGGAGACCTCATCAGTCTTGAGACTTACTTCGGAAGCTTTGCAGCAGTCATGGTCACGGGGAAACAGAGCTTTACAAAAATCTCAATAGGCCCTATTTAAATAAGTTTAATTAATATATATCGCGTTTTAAACCGTTAAAGTGTTTAAATACACATGTAAACTGCAGACAGTATTTAATCCGTTAATAGTTTGAGCTGTTAGGAAATGCTAGTGAAACCTTTATTAAAATAGTGATTCTTATTGCATATTATTTTCTGGTCATCGTGTCACAATTTTATGTCCCTCTTTTACTGCACTTACCCAGTTCAATTTTAACTTTATGCAGCTTTGCATAGAGTTTACTATTGTATATACATTTCTTTTCCTTGATTGCATGACTCAATGCACTTATGACCTCCATGCTTGAACGATTTGCACCAATTCAGTGTAATTGTTTGATATTTAAGTCATAATTTCCTACATGTTGACCGGTATTAATGTTCCAGTTTGTCACTTCGAATACTGCTTTACCTAAGAATACAATGCTTCAATAACACTTATAAGATCAGCAATTTAGTATTTTTGTTTTATAGCCTATTGTGATGTGATGTTACGAGTCACAGTTGAATAAATTGACAAAGTAAATTATTGGTAGCAATTAGAAATATTTAATATAAGACCGACACACTTATGCTGCTATCAATCGAATTTCATTCTTTATTATTCTGAAATACATAAGCGCCATTGATGTATTTGGTGTTAAAATCCTATAGTTATTATTTAAAAAAAAACCTAGTATTAGTTTATCTAGATGTTTTATAAACTTTTTTAATATTCAGGCAATGATGACCGGAAGTGTATCAACATTTGCGGATGTAGCTTTAAATTTCGGGGCGCCAGCTGTAAAAGGTGACAGCGTGTTGCGCGTGGCGACCTCTAGAGGGCGCCACACTATCTTATATGGAGATGACACGTGGTTGAGGCTATTCCCTGGTTTATGGACAGATTATGATGGAACTACCTCATTCTTTGTTACAGATTATACCGAGGTATAAAATTCGGGAAAAGTTGTTTTTTGTTTTTTTATTATTTGTATCTTACATAAAAAATTCTTAGTTAATGTTCCTAAGTGCTTATGTATATTTTATTGTTTATGTTATTTTGTTTTATGTATTTAGTTATTTAATATTTTCAGGTAGACAACAATGTCACAAGACACTTAGATACAGTCCTCGCTCCGCTAGAAGACAAAAAACCAAAATTTGACTTTTTAGTACTCCACTATTTAGGCTTGGACCATATTGGCCACCTAGAAGGCGCTAAGAGTCCAAAAATAAAACCCAAACTTATAGAAATGGATGAAATTGTAAAGAAAATATATGCAGCCATGCAAACATGGGTAAGTGCGTTTTTATTAGAAGTAAATTATATTCAATAGTGACGTAAATAATATCATAATACTTGAGTTCTATATATTATTAGATCGAAGTCAGTAAATAAGATTACACTAAGCGACTAACAACTAAACAGTCATGTTTAGATGTAAAGTTAGAAACAGTTGATGTTTGAAAACTTTAATATTTTTCACATATTATTGCACATGACGGCAGTTGGTCAATTGGTTTGAAGAACACCACGAACACCACTTTAGATACCGGTTCAAGTCCTGCTCGAGTCGTAAAATTGTTTTAATCTAAAATCGATTTTTAAATTTATGCACTTCTTAAAGTTGATTTTGTCATGGCTCCTAAATCTAATTGGTGTAATCCCAGGACAGAACGGGTGTGCTCATAATTTGTGGAGACCATGGAATGCGTGACGCCGGGGGCCATGGTGGGGCATCGCCCGCAGAAGTCCTCGTTCCACTCGTCGTCATAAAAAGCGCAGACTTCCAGTGTCCGCATGAGTAAGTGGCAGAATTGTTGTAGTTTACGCGTATAGTACACATTTAAATATAACTATTAAATGCGAAATATATTTAAAATGTACTTTTGGACTACGTTTTGGAGTAAATACTGTCTATAGTTTACGCGAGTAGTACACATTTAAATAAAACACTTTAACGGTTTAAAACGATATATTAGTTAAACTTATTTGAAAATCGACTATCCCCGTGACCACGGCTGCTGCAAAGCATCCGAAAGGTCGGGCGGAAGTTAAAAATCATTTTCAAATAAGTTTAACTAATATATCGCGTTTTAAACCGTTAAAGTGTTTTATTTATACGTTTGGAGTCTTTGCAGCAACTATAGTCACACGGGTAGGGGGTGCCCCCCATGTGCTATGAGTATTTTATTTAAATTTCGTTTTAAACTGTTAGAGGTTTAAGTTTTGTTTATCATTGCCTATTCGGAAATTATTAAATAATTTCACTCTAAGCCTGAAAAAGTAGGTTGTTACCTCCAATACTTCGTTTAATCTATGGTTTGTTTTACCAGACAGGGTCCAGGTCCTGTAGTAGCACAAGTTGACATAGCACCAACTATAGCCTGGCTCCTAAACACCCCGATACCTGGTGACAGCACTGGCAAGTTTCTCCCATCGCTGCTACCCTCGGATATCAGGCAGCACTTGTATTTACTCCACGTTAACGCACAACACAATGTCAAACAGGGTGTGCCGACGGATACTGGTATATACTTTACAATTATATAAAACTTTAACGGTTTAAAACGCGATCTATATTAGTTAAACTTATTTTAAAAATATTTTAACTACGGCCCGGATGTTTAAAAGCAGCCGTGGTCACGGGGAGACTTAACTTCTTTTTATGCAGGCAATTTAGTTATAAGTCAATAAAAAAAATATCTTTATTTACATGTTGTAATTTGTAATACAATGTTTTTTTTTTATATTTCAGAATATTACAGGCAATTCAAACGAGCTGAGACTCAATTCGCTCGCTATCTCACCTCCGGGCAGCAAAGTGCCGCGCGGATAGCGAAAGAGTTCTACGACGAATCTCTAATTGCTATGTCCAAACAACTTACGGAGTCTACCACGGATTTCGATATGTTTTCTCTTGGTCTGGCTACTGTATTCTTGTATTTTGTAAGTGTTTTTTACTGAAGTTTGAAAATTTTATATTTTTCACATGTGGCACTGTTTAAATTAAAAATTGAAAACTACTCTGGCAGGACTTGAACCGGCATCCATAGCGTTGCGTGCTGTTGATCAATCCAAATGAGTCCGAAAAATTGATATTTTTTTTTATTTATTATGAGTTTTTAACTTTTTTAATAAGTAACTTTTGTAATAAGACAGACACATCAGTATGTCTGTTTTACCGATCTTATGAAGTCGATTTTTAACTATCACATAGTTAGAAATAAACGATATATCTTGCAATGAAATAAAACACTTTGAACGGTTTTAAACGCGAAATATTTTAATTTACTAATTTACAATTTATTTTAATTGGGACCCGTCGTTTCTTACGCTAAGCAGTCGTGGTCACAGAAAGATCCGAAGCGTGGGGTCATACCTGAAATTATTATTTTTTTACCTAATATGCTTTGCGTTTTAAACCGTTAAAAGTGTTTAGCTACAATGTCTACTCGCGTGAACTATGGACGGCACTTAATTATTTTTGAACTTTGAAGTGTTTTTGCAAAGGTTAATAAATGTACCAACTAATAAGTTTGTTTATATATTACAGGTAGTAACGGCGCTCGCCTGCGTCACGCTGTACTCGTTACAACCAGACAATCAAAGGAAAATCAGTATCACAGACAAACATAGGACCAACATCGGTTCAATAGTCGCGTTCGCTATAATTTTCGCCGTTTTCGGCACAATCCTTACAGTCGCTTGCTTCATAACGGAGACGAAGAGCCAGTTCTGCTCGTTCAATCCGCTCTGGTCTATCGCATTCTTGTCTATGGTCTTCGCGTTAACGGTCACTTATTTCCTGATTAAAACCGGTGTCGAAAAGATCCGCGATCTGTCAATGTTACGGGAGTTGAACGCGATAGACTATCTACTTATAATCGGGACTTTGTTCCATGCTTGGTCCTTCTTCGGGACGAGCTTTATCGAGGAGGAGCATATGACGTGGTACTTCTTCTGGAACACGTTGATGTTCTTCGTCCTGGTGCGGACGATCGTGGTCTTGGTGATGTATTTTAGTAAGCGGTGGTCGGGGGCTACGGAGGTGCAAGAGAAACCGGATTTGGACCATCGGATGAGCGCTGTGGGTGTCGGTATTGTGCCGAAGTGGGTTCTCCTCATTGCTTTGCATAGGTGAGTGTTATGTACTGTCTGTAGTGAGTGGTACAGATTTAAATAAAACACTTTTGACGGTTTCAAACGCGACAGATATTAACTTAACTTATTTTTAATATATTGTGATCGAAATACGAACCGACGTTTTGAAAAAAGTTAAACGACGAAACTAGCAAATCCCAAATTAGACAGCTGCTAAATGGAAACGTAGTCTTTGACTTTGGGGACACCGTCAGTACCTTCCCCCATGACTACAATCCAAAACGTCGGGCATGATCCTAAAAAAGATAACTAATGTTTTTGATGTAAATATTCCGTTTTGGCAGAGGAATATTTTTTTTGTAATTAGTATTATTAATTATTCTTAACCATAAATTATAGTAAGTGTTGTTAACAGTTAACTAAATATAATATTTTTTTAAATATATTATATTGTAACTAAAATATTGTGTACAAATAAAAATATAACAACTTTTCTTATAAAGTTTCTCAATATAATCATTATTTATTGCAGATATCTTCGAACAATGAATCAAACAGGAGACCGATGGCTATTCTTACCTGATACAGCCGATTGGTTGAATGCCCCAGAAAACTCTATATATCTTCAAGGGCATCTCGTCTTTGGTAAGAAATTGATATTAAAAATTCTGGTCCTTCGAGCCAGATACACATTGATTACTCTGAAACGTACGAATGTATTTACTCGTTTATCATGGACCCTCCATTTTATTTATATATTATTTTATTGTACTTTTGGTTACATGTGTCTGTTTGAAAACTTTAATATTTTTCACATGTTATCGCACATGATGGCACTATATAATGGCGATGCCGGTTCAAGTCCCGCCCGAGTCGAAAAATTTTTCAATTTATTTTTAATTTTTAAATTACATATTGTCTTTTTTTAGGTACTCTGCTCACCCTAGCTATTTGTCTATGGAATATCCGGCACATGAACAATTACATGAAATTTCATTCCATAATAACAATACTGGCAACACTCTGCATCCTCTGCTACAGGATAACAACTAACGCCTTACACTCTCCATTCGAAGAAATAAAATCCTGGGACAATGTTTTGATAGTGGAAATTTTCTGGTGGCTACTAGCAGGACAGACCATATTTGAAGCAATTACCTATTTGGGTGTATTCAAAGCTTGCGGTTACAATCCAAACTCGAAATTCGCGTATAGCAAGCCTAAAGAGAAGAGCGAAGATTATTTCTATGATATAATGGAAGAACCCTGGAATATCAACGATGTCAAACTAAACTTGGCAAGATCACTAACGCACATAATGTATAACCAAATGATGTTGATTATTGTACTATTGATGCGACCACACAATGTTATAATGGTGCCAAGTATTTATATTACTTGCCTGATAACAGCCAAGTGTCTGGACCACAAGTTATTAGATGCAAGGCCAGGAAGGAATACGGAGGCAGCTGATATACTTGGCTTGACCTTGGCTCATATATGGATTGGGGCTGTGTTTTATTTTTATCAGGTAAACAAGAACTTATCTTTCTATAAACCGGCATTAACTCTTTTGTTTTTTTTTGTTGGAAAGCGGTAGAGGTCCTGGTTTCAAAACCGGGGCAGGGCACAGAACTCATCAACTACTTGCCTAAATAAAACCGATCAGTGAAACGGACACAGTAATGTGTTGGCCCCATACCCCACGAGAGGAAAGGGGATATCACTATTTTTTATACTTCTTCAAATAGATATATATAATTAAAATATGTATATCTAACAAAAGTGTACTGGAATTGAGATATTGATATTTTTCTTCTTTATATATACTCGTAGTCTATGTATAAACTAAAAATATCATTTAATCCTACAAATTCTCAATCAATCCTTATTGACATAATAAAAATTTTAGGGTAACTCGAACAGTCTAGCATCCGTAGACCTGGGATCAGGTTATGTGGGGCTGAGTGAGTACAGCCCCGTGAAGGTCGCGGCCCGAATGGGACTACACGCGTACGCTGGACCCGCGTTGGCTGGGGCACATCTGTTTTGTTCGTTACCTACTAGCGATATGAACAAGTAAATTTTTATCATACTATTTATTTAAGTACCTTATGCATAAGTATCCATAGCCAAAATAGGCCTACAGCACATCTTGTGTAGATGTTATATGACCGGGGTATTTCATCTCCTAACAGGTGAACTCCTAACTAGCTTGGCTGCTATCATTAAAAGAAATATGTCTATATAATGGTTACTAAATATATTTCTGACTTTCTCTAGACGTGGTAGGTATTTTGTGTAACAACTACAGTTACTTGAAACTGACAAGATGAACTTATATGTAACAGCCACCAGTATATTAAACTCATAATAATAAAGTCTTAAAAATGGGGGGGATGTTATTCACGGCTTTTCACTGTGGACGGCAGTTCGTCACCCGGACGGAATTTAGATATTCCTGCCATCCATTTAATTTCCAGATTACTAAAGGAAATCCAAGTTGTTTGATCTAAAAATGTTAGACCCGGACCCAATGAGCCGTCAAATTTCTATCAACATTAATTTTGACTTTCTCATAATTTCAGATATCTACAAGCTGTATGGCGAGTGTCAAACATAATGGCTTTACAGCGAGTGTACCAATTAGTTATATACTGTGTAATCGCAATAGTTTTTAGACACCACCTGTTTGTATGGTCAGTTTTCTCGCCTAAACTGCTTTACGACTTCGTAGCGACTGTATTCTCTGTACAGGCGTTACTTACGATTGCCGAAATAGTTCTTATAACACATATAGTCAGTTGGATTGCTCGAGCGATTATCTACAGAAGGTTGTCATAGGAAATAATCCTCAATTCGCTAAATAACTTGGCGAAAACTAAAAGTTTTGGAGTTAAAAGGACTCGTATAAGTTATAGAATACACGAATGGCGGGAAAAACGGAGGAAGTTAAACAGACTGATGTTAAAAGTTTAGTGTGTGTTAAAAATAGTTCGACAGCACATCGTTTATATGGGGCATATTTTCCATCAAATAAACTCCTTGTTGGTTTTCCTGTGATAAAAAGGCAAAAAACCATTTCGTTACTATTAGGATTAATACTGTGATCTTAAGAGTAAGTAAGTTTATATTATTAATGTACAAGTAACGCACGGATCTTTAGCGCTGAATGAATCTTGCACAGAAGTGAACCGGCGCGGGAAGCGAACGTCATGTGGTAGGTTGATTGTTCCCCAGTGTGTTGTCTTTTTCGGACCAATATAGCTCTTGCTTCTCGAGTCCAGTCATTTTCAATATTACGTGCACACGTAACTCTAACTACTCTATACTTTGTTAAGCGCTAATTATCCGTGCCGTGACCTATACTACTGTTACCTAAAAAACTAACCTAATTCTCACAGCGGTCCTAAATTGATCAAATAACTAATTATTCAGCATATCATTGTCTTTCGGGCTGTTCGGCTGACGTGAGCGAGAAGAGGTTCTTGACGTTTCGCCATCACGTGCGGACGGCATCATCAGAAGATGTTAACTCCTCGATTGCTCGAAGAATTAGCCCGAAAGACAATGATATACTGAACGATGGCCGTGAAAGCCTTACACAATTTATCAACTATTTATTATTTATAATGAAGGATTAAATACTCTTTGAAATTTTGCCATTTGAATTTTTCATGTTTCATGCACTTTTTGTCGCAAGTTCAGAATGTTGTTAACTATATATAATACGTGAAATTTTTTTTGTATGTGAATATGAACAGGTGTTTTTTAAATAATATTATGTTATTCTAGTAGATATATTGTTCATAAATATTGCATATGTTTGGACAGACGTGCCTTTAAGTTGTAAAGTTTCGTTATGAAAAAAATTAAGACAACGTTAAAATTTTCACATAAAAGATACAGGCTCCTCTTTAAGTGTGCTGTGGCAACAGAAATAAATATTTTTTTTAACTATTGTATTTTATAAATTATTACCCAAAAAGTATAAAGTTATTAATTTAAACCAAGAAAAAGTACCTTTGACAAAATTCGATACAGCGAAAGCACCATTACTTAATGCACAAGGTTTTTTAGAAACTTATTAGACTTTTCAAATACTCCATCGGGTTTGAGCAATATGACCCAGTGGTTCCTGTAGAAAAACTGATATAACATCTGAGTGGCGTAGTAAGCGCAAATGTATATAATTTTATCATTACTAGTATTGTTAGACTTTTCTTGTGCGTTTGACTGCCTGTACGAATTAATCTTCTGTTGGTTAAATTATCGTATTGAGTTAAACTTGGTAGAATGTGATCCTTGACGATAAGGTACCATTTTGCACAAATTACTACTCGATGATCTTATATTAAGGTCTCAGGAAAGGTTAACAATATGGGGTGTTCCACAAGGCTCAATTTTAAGCCCTTTATTCTTCGCAAGAACTTGGGACAACGCTACTCATCAGTGAAACACTACAATCAACACACCAAAAAAGGTTTCAATACGAAAATTAGACGAATTATTACAGCTAACATTACCTGTAAATTACAATATGTAAATTTATTCAACGTTCTTAGATACTGTAGACAAACCCACAGACTAAAGAAAAGACGGAAAGGTATATCGAATATTGGGAATTTTAAAACCAATTAACTTAGCTTCAAGGTATTCTCGAAAATAATTTTCCATCCATTTACGAAAATATTGGAGAAACACAGGTATTCAACGATGCTTACGAAGTCAAATTTTGTGTGAATTTTAATAAATGAGCTAGCTCAAATCAACCAACACACATTTCATATCTTAAAGATAGTAATAAAAAACAGCAATGAATTTCCAACAAGTTTTATTTAATACAATCAGTACCACCGGTCTATTTTAATCTACACCAAACCAATATCCAATTATATTCATCTATAACAAGGTAACACAAATAACATTTTTGATCGTTTACATCTAGCGTGAGTCGAAAATGCTAAGTGCCCGACCGAGGCGAAAGTAAGCACCAAGTACCAAGACCAGTTCTATCTTTTGGAATGTCAGCCTTAAACTATAAATTTTCAAAAAATACTCTTAAGTTCACATTAAGACGTCAGAAAATATATGCGGAGCCTGTTCTAGAGGGAATACTTTACTTATAAATACGGGATAAACTTCCGAAAACCATACCGCCGATCGATCTAAATTTGGTATACTTATGTATTTGACCTCCTAATCACGAATATCATAATGAAAATTGGCGCAAACCCATTTTGAATATGAAAAAAACGTCTTTTCGTTCAGTGTCCTAATCAAAAAATTTTCACGAAATGGAATTACTACAGCGGGAAATATTCCCAGGTCATTAGGAGAACAAAAAACCACTCAAATTAGCTACTATAGCGGAATAGATCTCAAGTCTATCGACAAAAGCGGCAAATATTTCCATGGGGGGCCGGCTATTACAGTAAAAAACATTCTCGGACTCTCGGACTAATATAAAGAAAAATATACGCAGTTTGTATCTGACAGCCGAAAGTAAATGGAAAATGCAACTACTATAGCGGACCACATTCATGTACCACAGTGGAAAATCACCACAAAGTTGAAATTGTATAGCGGACATGTGCAACGTTTAGGTTATTGGTGAATCAATGAAAATCACACTCACACACACACACACACACACAAAACGGCCCTTATCAGGGCCAGGAATGCTAGACAGACAACCTCCACGTGGTGCATTGTAGATAACGCGAATAGTCTGCGCTTTTCGGCCATGCAACCTCCAACGCTTTGACGAACTTGGATCACTATGGGTAAAAAATGGTTACACACACACAAACACATACACACACCCTTTTCGGGAAAAACTCAAATAGTCTACATTGGTTAGAAATGCGTGATTAGAACACTGAACGTAAAGAGGTTTTTTTGATTTAATATCAAACGGGTGGCAATTTTCGTTATGGTATTTATAGGATCAAATAATAATAAAAATTTAGATGATGGAGTTTTGGAAGTAACCTAAATACGAATAAGTTATGATTTTGGCACTAACTAAACTAAATAATATAAACGATCACATGGTTGTGAGTAAAATGCTTAAGAGAAACCTCTTTCGGTTTAAGGATATGACATTTGATTGGTAGGAATATTAAAAAGTAATGATTTTTTTTAATAACTAACAAAATAAGCAGTTTATTATAAAGGCAACTAACTAAACGTAGGCAGATACAAAAATATATACGAAAAACCATCGTAAATCTCTTGAAAGGATCCAGTCTCTGGCTTTTATAAACATACCGAGTGACTATACTAAGTTTAACGGTTTAAAAGGAGAAATATATTGCGTAATCAAAATTCAACTACGACACGACAATACAAACGTGAGAATTAAGTTATTTTAATTTAAATTTAATTTGACTTATTTCGTAATTTAAACCGTTTAATCTGAATGTGATAGTTAATTTTTATAGCTTGTAAATAAATGTCACACCCTTAAACCACAGATATAAAACTTTGAAATGGATACAGTATTATGGTAAATCAATAGAAAAATAAACAATCATAAGATTTCCCATTGCACCTAAAATAGCAGTCATCTTTGCTGATGTTGCAGATTACTGATATACGCCTTGTCAAGTATTAAAGCTCAAAAAATGTGGAAGATAGAATTACGTTAATCAGCTATATGCCTCCCCCCACTATTAAGTTACTTCTCGATTTCCTGAAAAAAATAAACAAAGAAGAAATAATAAAAGACGATATCTTTTGTTCATTTATGTACAATATAATAAGTAAATTGTGTAAGGGTTTTGACGGCCATCGGGTAATCACGAAGAGACCCCCCGTGACCACGGCTGCTAACGTTTAAGTTTTATATGAATACTTAATGTCCTCGCATATAAATACTTTGTAAAAACTATACTTACAGTTGCGATGTAGATGTTCACTGCGGCTGATGCTTGTAGCGGTAGACGAGCACGCTGGCCACGCCCACCAGCAGGCTCAGCAGCAGCGAACCCCACACCAGCATCTGATAAGTTACATTCGTTATCTTTGTCTAACAAGGAGCATTACAATGAGCAAAATAAATGTTAGTCAGCGTTCCGTGCTGTAGAGCAACAGCTACCGAGTCCTACGAGAGCAACAGCACGATGATAACGATGCCGGTTCAAGTCCTGCCCGAGTCGAAATTGTTTTCAATAGATTCTCGATTTTTAAATTATATAGTGCCTTTATGTGCAATAACAAAGTTTTCAAATGAAATCCAACATGATTTAGAAAAATTTATTAAATTGCTTAGAAAAATGTTGGACCCAGTGGGGACCGAACCCACGACCCGTTGATTTTTAGCCGTACATTGCTATCATTACACCGACGAGCCCGTCAATACTATACTAAACTTGGATTTCTCACCTTAGCTCTACCGGGCTTCTTATCTGGCGAAGCCTTCCCCTGGCCGCTGGTTCCAAGCATCCGTTTAGCCAACTTCCTCTCCACAGACCTGTCTCTCGTGGCCTTCTGTTCGCACCGCTGCAACTCTTTGCGGACACCGACATCGTCCGGTGCTGCTAGAGCGGCGGCTTTAGCTGCTTCAAGGGCTTCCGAATTCTTACCCATCGCTGTGAGGATCCGAGATTTCCGGTATAGGGCTTTCGCGTTGTTTGGCTGGCATGTTAGAACGCGGGTTACCGCCTGGAAGAGTTGAGTAAAATGTTTTAGTAGGGTTTTTTCTCTCTAGCGGGATACATGGATTTTGAATGCTGTGCATGTATACCAAAATGCATACTATAAACATTAAAAATCGATTATAAATTGAAAAAAAATAAACGCCTCGGACAGGACTTGCACACATCCACAGCGTATCGTGCTGTTTGTTCAAGTACTGCCAAAATCATAAATTATTTATTAATTCATATAGCGCCATCATGTGCAATAACGTGTGAAAAATATTAACGTTTCAAAAAAACTTAATGCATACTGATGAAGTAAAGATTTCCACCGAAGCCGAATAACAATAAATTTATCTCCAACTAAGCTAAGCGGAGAAGAGAAAGAAATCAAATTGGTTTATCGAATACATCTTCTCGATTCTTCTACGCTTTTCTGGAAGCCGGGCCTAACGCAAACTTTATCGATATATGTATTTTTAATTGTATTATATATGATGTCCAATTTATATGAAAGAGAAACTGTTTCTTTCACTATTGGTCACAGTGTCATGTATTGTGAAGCCTTTCTCTAACTGAATGCTCTAACCAACACAAATGTTCCAATTCAAATCAGTTCAACAGATTAGCGTTAAAACAAACAAGTTTTTCAGCTTTATAATATTAGTATAGATATGTAGTTTTTGTTACTGTACCTGAAGAGCAGCATCATAAGCACCAGCCTTCAGCTGTGCAGCAGCCATGTTATTGTAGACCCTCATCCGCTCATCCAGCAAAGCCATGAGGTCATCCGGCGTTGGAGCCAACTCGCCACTCGCTGTGGGGTCAGTAATGCCGCCTTCGCTTTCGTCTAACACGTCCAGGGCGCGCCGGTACAGCTGTACCGCTAGTTGAGCCTCGCCGCGCCCGTACCACCAGTTACCGCGGTATCGACGACGTATTCTGTGATGTGAACATATAAATTAAATACTTTAAAAAAAAATCTTAGGTTAGGAACTTTAGTCTTAACTGGCTGTGACCGCGACTTTGTTCGCGTGGAATAGTTTTGTTTTTCGGCAATTTTTTCACAATTAATAACATCATATCATTTTTAATAATTTTTTTAGTATTAATTTTTTGCAAGAAAACGACGAGAAATCGTTTTATAAATTATAAAACGACTGCGTAGAATATTTATTTTGGGCATCAAAGATGAATAATTTTTCCCCGTTTTCTCCACATTTCCTTGTCTTTCATCGCTCCTATTGGTGGTAGGCTGATACTTTATAACGCCGCCTAAATACTCGGTATATTTTCCAAAATGAATTCTTGCATTCGAACCAGTAGTTCCAGAGATTAGTGCGTTTAAACACACAAACAAGTTCTTTCAGCTTTTTAATACAAAAGTATACTACAAAACAAACATTAAGTTATATAAGTTATCATGAGCAAATAATTTTAAACATTATAAAAATTCAAACAACAAATGTATATTTATTTATTCATTCTCACTAATTATATAGAGGTTTACTTTAATGTTAACAAATAAATCATTTCTCACGGTAAAAAAAAGGCAATAGTTATAAAAAAAGGCAATTACATTTCTGAATACTATAAGTAAGACGACCAGGTGCATGCCCTTTCATAATTTTCAGATTCGTCAATTGCAAGTAATTGAATTAGACGGTGTTACATAAAAGCTAAATTAGCACAATCAAGCGTTACACGCTCTTAAACAAATTGATAAGCCATTAAGACCTTGGCATAGTTATAACAGTATTTATATTCAGTTTCGTAATATCGTGAATAATTTAATATTAACTAATAGTTTAGACACGTTTGAACATACACTTAAATACTGATTGTACTTTACGCGAGTTGTACACATTTAAATAAAACACTAACGGTTTAAAACGCGATATATATATTATTTAAATTAGTGGAGCACAGCTGTTGCAAAGCATCCGAAACATCAGGCCGTAGTTAACTTACTTTCAAACAAGTTTAACTTAAATATATCGCGTTTATAAACCTTTAAAATGTTTCTATCACACACTTCGAAAGCATACTTGCAAAAAAGACGGCGTCACAGATATTAAGGGTTTTCACAGCCGGTTCTTAAGAAACACCCTGGTGAGCCGGTATTTTTCTTTTTGTATACGGAACCCTAAAAATATCCCCCTTTAACTGTATGGACACTGAGCTTTTGCTCAAATGTTAAATAAGTTTGTGCGATAAGGGATGCATGTATAAATGTCAATTAGTCTTCCACGACGTAACGGCCGATATTATTTTAAACCGATATCAAAAAAAGAAGGTTCTCAATTCTGTATAAAAGATTTTTGTTTGTTTGCGCATAGTACCCTAGTTTATGAAACCAAGTTGGAAAAGAATAATTATAAGCCAGACATTTGGAGGGAACTTTTAAAAGTCGTATGACGTGTCGCATGACTAATAAACAGCCTCAACAACAAAATTATATTATAAAAATGTAATTATTTTTTTATGAAACTCAATAAAAGTACATATTACTTTGTGCAAAGTATTTTTTTTGTTTACTGTTTGAAGCTGATTATTCTTTGTTAATTTTTTTTTAAAGTAAAAGTATAATGTCTTACCCAATTTCCATCCTTTCAGCTATGGGCAAAGTCTCATGTTCCGGTTCCTCAGCCCAGTCGTGAAGCTCCAACGTCACTTCCAACCAAGTTTCCGGTCCAATCGGAGGCCCCCTATACTTAGGATCATCCATATCTCCAACCATACCCAAACTGTCCCTGGGGCTTAAGCCTGTGTCGCCATAGGCAAACCTCGGGGCTAACTGTAGTATGCATTTTTCACCTTTATACATTAAGGTCAATGCTAAATCCAGTCCTTGCAATATCTGAAATTTATAAAATTCTAATTATAATATATAAAGGGAAACATTATTATTTTTATATGATAAGTGAGTGAAAATCTACGCAACACAGAAGGTCAATTGGTTAGCGCAAAACTTTTAACTTTTGAAACATTTTGTATTTGCTATTGTTGTCCTTTTGAATATAATTAAAGACTGTTTTACTAAATAGTGTTTATGGGTATTATAAATTCCAAAGTTATTGTATTCATTAACCTAAAGAAGTAGTAATATTTTAAAGAAACAGAATCAGACTGGAATAAAGTTTACAGTGACATCTATATTTCTAATATTTATTTACAGTTGAGATATTTAAATAAATTTAAAACCTGTGCTCTTCATGTTAAGTTAAAATTAGGCATTCATTTACATAATAAAGTTCAACAACACAAGATCAAAAATCAACAATCAGTCTCCATTAATAATATCAATATTTACGTGATTTGATAACACTGATGTACTAGATAAGATTGTCTAGAAAAAAAGTTCATTCTGTTTTAATATTTCATAATATTATTATTATAAATCATCCAAAATTTATAAAAAACTTAACCATTTAATACTATTATAGTTTAATAAAGTTTTGGTTAGAATCCTTACTAATTTATAAATGCGAAAGTAACTCTGTCTGTCTGTCTGTTACTCTTTCACGCAAAAACTACTGAACGGAATGAAATTTGGTACATTTATGGTCTAGACCCTGAGAAAGAACATAGGCTACTTTTCATTGCGAAAAGGGGGTTGTAAGGGGTTAAGGGGGTGGGGGGGGTGTGAAAGTTTGTATGGAAATCCGTGGTTCTTGAAGAAAGAACATTGAAATTTTCTTCTTTGGCTTTTTGAGAATTGGAGTAGGGGTGTGAGTAGGAGTAGGAGTGGGAGTGGGAGTTAGAGTAGGAGTGATTATTGAGTATTAATATAATTCAATAATGATAGCTATAAATATAATTAGTTTCGTGTCATAAATTCGTTTAACATATATGTGTTAACTGTTTTATGAAATATAATAATAAACTAAATCAATAGAATATAAATCCTTATTCCCCCTGGGAAAAGGGCCGCTACAAAGTACCTCATTGCCTTTGGGTCATATATAAAATAAATTAAAAGTAATTGATATTATTTAATTATTCATTTAGTACAATTGAAGTTGCCTAAGCCACACTTTAACATTTTTTAAATATATTTGGCATTTGAAACTGTTCAAAGTGTTTTAAATGTGTACTAATCAATGAAACTAAGGACAATAGTTGATTTTATCTGATTTTTAGTGTTTTAGGAAACAAAAGACTACTTATACTTTGTTATAAGAGGTTATCAAAGTAACTCACTTCATTGTCACCCAGGTATATCTTGACTTGGTCCCTCTCCTCAACTAAATCTCTATTGCCATCTCTTAATCTAACCTCATAGCTTATTCGACAAATATCACTTCGTTGTGGTCTTAAGCCCTCTGTTTCATCTCCTTGATTTATTATCTAAAATATAATGTAGTATATTACTTAAAGTAGAAGAACTTTTTGTCTGGTCCTCTATACCAAAACAAACCAAACTGTTTTAGGTATTGTGTATATGTAGGTAAATTTATAAGCCAACTGATATTTGTGAAATACCATTTTCCCCTTGTGGGGCTTGGGGCAAACACATTTCTGTGTCCGTTTCACTGAACTTCTAACAGGCAAGTAGTCGATCAGACTTCTGTGTCCCACCCGAGTGAATCATTTTTTTCTTTCCCCGGGATTTGGCTTGGAAAACCTAGAACTTCTCACGCGTATAGCATTGCTAGGCACCACGTTTAACCATTTGGCTACAGAGGTGGCCAAATGACATGCATGTTACAATTTATTTAGTAGAATTGAATATTGTCTAACAAAAACTAATTGTGTCTAAATTGACATGTTTAGCCCACTAAATGATATTTATGAAGATTTCCACTGTCTTTAATATTTATGTGATCTTTGAATTTATTAGTACAATACACCTAAAACTTTTTAGAGCAAACCATGTTTGTATATTGGAGTGTACCTTCTTCAGTATTGATCCTGAGCCTAGGACATCCTGCCATTCGTCGGATTTCTCATCCTTTTGCTTACTTTTCTCTGCGGCTGCTGCCTCAGCTGCCTTAGCTTCCTCTATTTCGTGAGCTGCAGCTGAAGCCAAGTCTTCAAAGGAACTACTCTCCGACTTGTCGATTAACGTACGCTCGCCTTCACTCATCTAAAAGTTATTCAATAATTACGCCTAACTTAACTACGCAACAGCTAAGTTAATCAAGGCTTAATCTCAACTTTAACAAAACAAACAAATATATCATAGATACCTTTTAGCTTTATATCACAGAAGTAATATCAATCTGCACTACACTAGCCTCTAATACATTTCCTATAATATTATCTTGATTAACAAAAAGGGAATTTTATTTCTATTTACGTGTACAGATGACATTCAATTTTCTGACTACTGAAGGTAAGTACAAAAGGATTGCAAAATTTGTAAACCCTTTGACTTATTTGTTTATTGTCAATGTCATGAACAGAACAGATAGCGTTTAAGTTCCAATCATATGTTGAGGTGATTCTGTAGCCAAGTATTATTGATTTATAACTTGACAGTGACAATTGACTTACTGTTTGATATTAACTTCAATATTTATTATTACATGTCGGTAAAAAAATAATGATAATTCATTAAGAAAAATACATAATAAATTCTAATAAGATTATATAATATTATTAAATATACGAATTAAATTACATTATCTTGGAAATCGATACTGGCTACTATCAACTATATATCTGAGTAACCTGTGTTGAAATTATAGAAGTTCTATAAATAATTTACTATGCAAAAATATGAAAAACTTGAAAAAATCGGAGAGGGCACATATGGCACCGTCTTTAAGGCTAAAAATAAAGAGACTCATGAAATAGTTGCCTTAAAGCGCGTAAGGTTAGACGATGATGATGAAGGTGTTCCATCATCAGCTTTGCGAGAAATTTGTCTCCTCAAAGAATTGAAACACAAAAATATTGTACGACTCTACGATGTTCTTCACAGTGAAAAAAAGTTGACCTTAGTGTTTGAGCATTGTGATCAAGACCTGAAAAAATATTTCGACAGTCTGAATGGTGAAATAGAGTTGGATGTAGTCAAGTCGTTTATGTATCAACTATTAAGAGGACTTGCTTTCTGCCATAGCCACAATGTCCTTCATCGTGATCTAAAACCACAAAATTTATTAATAAACAAGAATGGTGAGCTAAAACTCGCGGATTTTGGCCTTGCTAGAGCATTTGGTATTCCAGTCAAGTGTTACTCAGCTGAAGTTGTAACTTTGTGGTATCGCCCTCCTGATGTCCTTTTTGGAGCTAAGCTTTACACAACAAGTATAGACATGTGGTCAGCTGGATGTATTTTTGCAGAATTAGCTAATTCTGGTAGACCACTATTCCCTGGGTCAGATGTTGATGATCAATTGAAGCGGATATTTAAACTTCTAGGTATATAGTTTTTTTGCCTCCGTAACACATTATACAATGCATTGGTATTGTTTGTCGAGGTTTAGTTGGAGATGCTGGTTTTGAATTCCAGGCTTTCTAGTTTGCAATAATAACTTTCCATTCATTTACTCCTCATAAAAATAATCAGTAAAACACAGAAATATATCTTCTCATATTAAAATTAAATCCTGTTAGCATTTTATGTAAATTATAATCTATTAAACTTTCAGGTACTCCAAATGAAGATACCTGGCCTGGAGTGACCCAATTGCCAGATTATAAGCCATTACCTATATACCAACCCAGCTTAGGCCTTGCCCAAGTTGTACCTCGGCTATCAGCTCGAGGAAGGGATCTTCTCGCTCGCCTTCTTACCTGTAATCCAGCCTTAAGAATGCCAGCTGACGACGCAATGGCGCACGCTTATTTCCACGATTTGAATCCGTCTGTTAAGAATGATCGGTGTTAACAGTCAATTCACCCTTATCGGTGTACCTCTGAACTGCTGTTTAGTGTTAAACAAAATGATACCGAAGATGGGGTACAAGAGTATTGTGATGAACAGTGAACTGAAGTTTTTAATAGCATTTTCTATTAATTAGCTGTCCACATAATGCTAAGCTATAGCTAATAGACAAAAGAAATTTGTACTTGAGTGGCTAATATTTTTTAATGCCCATGTTTATTGTTTACTCCTGAAACCCGTGATAATTGATAGATGTACAGGATGGAGACTTCAAATGTCATTCAGATAATTAGTACTTTGAACTCGTGTACTTTAAGCAGATATTTATAGTGTTAGTCAAAATTACTTTAGCTTTTGAAACTTAGTACATTGTCATTTTATAAATACTATACAACTAGATTATTTACGGTTTAGTTAACTAAATGTTTTGTGTGTATAGATGTTTGCTTATACCATTAATTGATCTCGTACCGTAAGCTTGTTTTTTTTGCTATACTACATAGTTTAAAATTAATTCTATAATTATAAATAAAATACTAATTATAATCAGGGTGACTTAGAAGTGTCAATGTCTATTTTGTTTTATATATTGTTTAACATTATGTAATTGATAAATAAAATTGTAAGATACCTTTGGTAAAAAATTGGTATACTTAAATGTTTGTTGTAATTTATAAGAGTATTGATAATACAAAAATATCTTAGACTTCTTAATATTATGTTTAATTTAAAATCTTAAAGCATTTCCATTTCAGCTCTTTTCCTCTTTCTGTGATTGGCAACCATATTAGCTGTGGTAAGTAAGGAATCGCCTCTTTTGAGCCAAGTGGACAAAGCCTTTTCGGAGGCCATTGCAGAAGCAGTACGATCTCTCTCGCTAGAAGATAGAGGTTGCAGTGCATTTATAGAATCTGTTGAGACACTGGCTGAGAGGATCATCTTGAATCGCTGTCGAAATGTCTGCAAGGCGAATATTGTCATAGAAATTTAATTATGTGATACATTGTAAACCTGACATACAGAAAGTGTACTAACATTAACTAATGTAGTTGCAACTTCGCCTTTAATATCATATTTTGCTACATAACAACCAAGTTCAAAGAAGTATTGGGCCAATTTATGTAAATCTACAGTGCAGGCGTCGGCATTGAATATTTCCCTGTATGTTTCCTTGTAAACCTTTGGTAGATCAACCGCAACCAGTGGTGGTCTTCTCGAGGATAGAGATTCTGCCAACCATAGCGGAATTTCTACACTAGTACCAGCTTTAAGGTCTTCCTCGGTACACGATGGATCCAGAAATCCTAAAACGATAATGACAACATAACGTTATCTATAATTTGGGCATTTACACGCTAGACTACACTTACCTAATTTTGGCAAATCGTGTAAAAATCTACAGGGTACCTTTTCATTGCTTACTAATATATCTGAGATGGATAAGTAATTATTAGCCATCTGAAATGTTTTTTAGAATATTCGCGGTTTTTTTACTGTCATATTAATTATTATTTTTTAAATAATATTTGATGTTCTGGTAACGGGGCTTTTAAGCCAAAATTATTGTTCAAAATATTTGACAGCTTTGATAGACATCGTAGGTTATCAAAATATATTGTCGTAATATACAAATTGAATTCAGTATAAATCAACTTTCCTTTTTATCTCACAACTAAATAAGTAAAATATTGCAAAACTTGCTGTTTAGCACCATGAAATTGTTTTACTTTTTCATGTAACTTTTATTGCTTTTAATAATTGTTGATATAATACATTATTGTAATGGGAAACCATTTACAATGGGAAAGCCATGAAAGTAAGAAGAAGAAGAAGGATATCCTTGTCAGTTGTCTATGTCATAAATGTGTCAAAACTATCGATTTGTTACGGTGTGAACAAAAATTGTGTTGAGAAATGAGAATTGTTATTTACACAAAGCAAAATAATACAAATCTTCAATTAACATATGTAATTGCAACAACATATACTTTCTTTTGATGTCTATATATAAAGCAGTATAAGAAATTGACAAAAAAAAATTCTTAGTGAAAAAGGGGAAAACACTCTTTGTATTAATGAATAAATGTAGAGAAAAAAGTAGAAATGTAAAAGCACAACAATGTATTGGTGTCTACCTCTACGCATATCTGTACGAGATAGTATTATATTAATTCTTCTGGTTATATTTAATACAATCCATGTAACTGATATGGGTAAGGATATGTGGCGTAGCTGAATTTATTTGACTTAGTGATTAAGAATGTCTTTTATTAAATAAGATATTAATAACAGTCAACCCTATTTCAGCCAACAACGACATGGATATCCAGAGCAAGCAAAGCAAGTCTAAAGATGAAAATGCGAGTAAACTAGTAAATTTTAGTGGAAGTGATGATTACTTAAAAAACTGTCCAACTGAAGAGAATGAATTGAACTGTTCTGAATTGAATTATCCATGTGTGACATGTGATAGAAGCATTGACTGTATCTATGGAGCTGTAGAAAACTATACATGCTATGTTAAAACTAAAGTCATTTGCAAGGTATTGAACAAAATTATAAAATCTTAAATTATGTTGTAATCTGCACTGCTGATGATCAATATAAATAAACTTTTAATTTTAAGGGTGCTAGAACATTTAATAAGACAGCACTATGCAGATTCTGTTACCAAACTGATAAATGGGAATACAGATGTGATCAAAAGGCAAACTGCAATTCCTTGGCTTCTCCCATGAAATATTATTTGTGAGTAATTTTGAATTTGGTTTAGAAATAGTAAAAATATCTTTAACAAAGAAACTTTTTATTATTTAACCTTTTTATGGACTTTGTCCTATAAAATATGTTTCAAAATGTGTTCTTTCAGAACTAACTGTACTGTTTCGGATGACATAATTTGTTTGGGCAAAAGGAGGTTCCTAAAGAAAATCAGATGCTCATGGACGGCTGGCACAAGGTGGGGTACTGCTCTTGTCCTTGCTCTTACTCTCGGTGGCTTTGGTGCCGATCGGTTCTACTTAGGACATTGGCAAGAAGGCATCGGAAAGCTATTCAGCTTTGGTGGTCTTGGAGTTTGGACACTTGTAGATGCATTATTGATTGGTATTCATCACCTTGGTCCAGCTGATGGATCTCTATATATTTAACCTTAATTAAATGTTGTAAGTAAAAAATCCTGTTTTATTGACACTACTTACAGTGTTTATACACTAACTCAACGAGTTCAGTCTTTTTCAACCCAGTCAGAGCAGGCAATCCATTAATATCTTTGAACTGAAGTATTTGTTTTAATTGTGGTACAGTATATTTTTCTATAATTCTATTACATAATCTATGTTCAAGTAAATCTTCATCAATATCTATTTTAGGCCTTTTGTTTCCACCATTAGTTGATGAGGGTGCAGTTCTTTTAATAGTAAGACTACCAAATGGACCAAATAGCTCTTCAAATATATCTTCATTGATATTGCGGAACAAGTCTGAATTTGGTTTTGTGGTATCAATGAAGGGTTCACTATCATCCTCTTCTAGAGCAATTGCTTCTATTGCTCGATATTCTGACTGTAACTTAGGATTTTCGAACATATCAGGTTTATAATTGAACTTTAATCTGCTTAATAGATCCTTCATTACAACTTTATGAGCCTGCTCAGTAGGTTCTTCATCCTCTTCTGGGATATTTAGCTCTCTAGTATTTTCAATAAATGGTATATGTATGATATCAAAACCAATATCAACATCTAATCCATTTGGGTTCTTACAAGGGTTTAATGCTACAATTGTTGGTCTTGCATTGACTCTAGTACACAAAACACTAATGGCAATCATTTCCAAATCGGAGCAAGCTTTATGCATAGCTTTGAAAGCAATTGTGGATCCTTCTATAATCTTCTCATTTGGGAACAGGAAGTATCCCATCTTCAAGAACCACTTCTCCTTGCAAATCATTCTTGCTGGCTTAAAGCCAAGTAGTTTCATCATGGGTGGGCCAAATGGATTTCTTATTTCTTTCATTTCATTTGCGGTAAATTCAACTCGTTCCCCGCCATATTCCTGATAGAAGAGGAGCTCCGATTTTAGTAATGGTAACTCTTTAGGTGTATCAGTTTCTTCAGAATCTGCTTCTACTTTTGTAGTATTGGTCACACTAGAGACAAGTGCATTTGTTTCTCGATTAAGATCAACTTTTTTATGATGAGTATATCCAGCTTTTTTTATAAGTGAATAAACTCCTACTCCTATAGAAAAACCTTCTGCAATTTCAAAGTTCAAATTAGATACTGCCAAGCGCCTATGTGATTCCTTGTGCATAAATTTTTCTATTTCAGTTGCATCAAAAATTGGTTTCGGAATAACAGGATCTTGTCCTTTACATGCTTCTTTCAAAAAATTGAAATAAAAAGTATCAATTTCATAATCAGACTCTGATATATTTATTACAATAATATCAATATTAGAATCTATTAAATCCTTAACTCTTTTAAGTGTTGGGGTATAATCTGAAGCAACTGGGGTTATTAATAATTGTGTGAGCATTATTACTTTATATGAAGATATTTGTTTCTTACAGTTAGCAAATGTTTTGCTACAATGCCAGAGAACATCTGATAATTTTAACTCCTCCGCTTTTTGGTATGTATTTATGTCCAAAGCTTTAAGGTTTTTAAAGTCTGTTAGTGAAGGGAGCGAAAGAGGAATAATTTCCTTTATGTTTTGGGAGTCTGTGAAACCCTGGTCGTTATCAGTTGATTTAACTCCATACAGGTAGACACCCAGTACCTGTGAGCTGGCGCTTCTGAGATATTGTCTGACTAACCGACATGTCGCTGCATGTGCCAGTTCTAATACTTTGTTATCTTCCAACACATTTATCAATATAATTGTGGCAGGTATACCGCGATACGTCGAGACCTCTGCGAATTCTTCATCAGAATCCATTTTCAATTACACCGCTTTAAACCGACTTAAAGATGTTTTAATAATATGTACCACAAACAAACGCTGATTGTTGTTATTGGTCAGATCATTTCTAAACATCAGCCGTAAAAATATATCAAAGTCAAGTTTCAGATTGCACGTCTATTTTTGATATTTCCATTGTCTGTGGTATAAAACAGATCCAAAATGGACTAGATTGTACACTTATGCATCTGTGGTCATTGCGAATGCAGCCTAAACATTAATTATTATCTTTATTATTCAAAAGTATTTAAGATCATGAGAACCATGCAATATTAATGATACTTATTTCATTTTATTAAAATTTCGCAAGCTGTGAAAAATAGGCGATTATAATTACTTTTAACACTACTAAAATGTAAACGTAAGGTACTATATGCTTTACTACCTTTACCTACGCTTACATTTTAACTAACCCGAATTAATGAACGAACATAGCGTAATTATTGTTTAGACATATTTTACGTCTCTTGTTTAATACGTCTAATCAATTACATTTGTTATATGTTATTTTAAAAGTAAAAAATGATGAATGAACGAAAATGAAAAAAAAAACTTTTTTTATAATGATAAGGGAGAATAGACAAGCATGGGGTTCTCTTGATCTTAGGTGATATACACCAGCCTATAGCATCTAAACAAGATGCGCTGTCGACCTTTTTAGGCGTTGGATATTCGGAAATTTCTAGTTCTTAAGGTAACTGATACCTTAAGAACTAGAAATCAGAAAAAAAAAAACTAGAAGGGTATTTGTAACAAAAATGTTAGACTTAAACTGAATCTACATAATATGTATATTTTTTAAAGTCGGTTACAGCTCCTTGCAATTGTATAATTTGCGGCTCGCCTCTTGCCCGATCATGATAATTCTAATTAGCGAACTTTAGCAGGCGGAGCATGTGACGAGTGTGCGCAGTAAAGAGAATCCAGCGAGTCTGCGCGACTTGTCATTCGGTCGCGGGCTTACGCCGCGTTGGCACCTCGTTAAGATAGGGACCTTCTTGGAAACCTTCGAGGTTGCCGGTCAGCCAATCCTCGATTTAGGCGCTTTACGTGGCGCCTGGTACTATTCTGTGGTAGTGCACGCGTGCGCGAACGAGCGCGTGCGCGGCGCCCATTGCGCGCAACCACGAGCCGAGAGCATGCAAAGAGCACGGTTCTGCCGCGCGTAGCGAGCCAGGCCGTGCGCGCTATAGCCATGGGCTGCGCTTCGTCCGCCGAGGAGCGCGCCGCCATCGCGCGGAGCAAGCAGATCGAGAAGAACTTAAAAGAGGATGGTATTCAAGCCGCCAAGGACATTAAGCTGCTGCTCTTAGGTACGCAGCTTTTGCTTACAGTTTGGTATTGCGCGCGCACACCCCGCGCCCGCGTATCCTATATCGACTATATGGGAAGGCTGCCGATGACGCATTTGTAAACTGCTTGTTGCTTTGTTTTCTATACATGAACATTGACTAAATAATATGATTAACTAACGTTTAGTGTTATCAGTCCCCAATACATCTACATACTTTTTTGTTCATTAAAATGTTATACTCTGTATACAACTACATATAACTTCATTCAAATAAAATTTAAATACTTTTCATACTAATAATTACAAAATGAAATCTATATTCCCTACCTTAATACCTAAGTAAGATAAACAAAATCTGTATCTTCCTGGAATGTTACAGACCTAAACATAGAGTTGAACGAATAAGACATTTTACCTCATATAAGGATTTGTTTTAAAATCTATTATGGTATTTATGCTGTTGGCGAAATTCTTAAGTTCGACTAGTTGGTTTTCAGATAAGACTAAAACTAATGTTCTGTATTAAAAATCAAACTCATAAATATTTGTTACGCAAATTATTAAGGTTAAATGAAAGGTATTCTTTAATAAATATTGCATATTGAAGCACTTAATTTCAAGTAAGCTTCTTAGAAAGAATAACTTGTACACATAGTTTTTTTCAAGAATTCATTTTAGGTTTATGCATTAAAATGTTTTAGTCTTAGAGGAAACTGATATAAATGCACATAGTACGGTTAAAACAGCAAATTCAAATTTCGCGTACTTTTGACAGAAAAATGACAATATAGCTGCGTCTCCCTTTCGCACACGCACATTCTTCCACGCATGTGTGAGCGAGGCGGAACGAACTTAGCCGAACGCAGCCGATTGTCAGTCGAGCGGGGCGCGGTCGCTGTCAGTCGTCACGGAGTGTAGCCAGAGCTTGTCATTCGGCCGCCATTATCTCATACGGATTCATAAAATCAATTAAATTCAACGCTGTCTTTACGCGTTTCGGTGTGGTGTGGATCGAGTACTTGTGCGAATCACGAGATCGTGATAATATCTTGTGCGGTGACGTCAATCGCTCGTGCTAAGTGGTGAAACGGTTACTGTGTTGAGTGTTAGGGTGGCTCCGCTTAGGCCGGAGGCGCACGACGCGTGTGGATCGTATGCAGAGGGAGCGGTGAGGGCGCGCCCGGCTCGGGAGTCGGGGCGGAAGGTCTGGGCCAAGGGACAGCTGCCGACATGGGTTGCACTCAGTCGGCGGAGGAGCGGGCCGCGGCCGCACGGAGTAGACAAATCGAGAGGAACTTAAAGGAGGACGGCATTCAGGCCTCCAAAGATATAAAGCTACTGCTGCTAGGTACGATGATCCTTTTCGCGGGTGCAGCGCGACCGCACCCATGTAACAAAATCACAATAGCTCTACAATCGTGGGTTATTTCGCCGGCTTTTATTCGTTTCTAAAAACCTTGTAAGCCGCGGTACGTTGTCGTATAATAGTCTCCTAACATACATCATGTGATGCGGTGTACTTTGTGACTGTTCACACAGGCTTTCTCCAACCTAATCAATATGCCGGCATGCACCTATTTCGCGTTCAAATGAAAGTATCGGCATAATAATCAGGAAATTATGATGTTATTGTTATGTACTTAGATTTCAAAATACTAATTTAAACGACAGTATGATTAATAAGCAAGACTATGCTACTCATGTCAAAAATTACTAATATTAAATTAATGAAAATGAACTTACAAAGGTTTAAAGGTTACTGACTACACCACGCGGGAGAAGCCGCGAGCGAATACTAGTACCCTTAATTTACATTTTAGTACATAAGCAAATTCAAGCTTTACATTTGTTTAATTTTGGTAAAAACATGTATCCTTAAAAGTGTTAGGAAGAAGAAGAATAAGTAAACATAACTAGGCAATGTCATCACACTTTTCTAAAAACAATGATTCACAGATTTTATATGTTGAACAGGAGCATATAGTAAATATTTACATTTCTACATTAATTTTCAATATGATCCAAACTCCAAAATAATTATATGAATACTTGCAATTTTTGAAAACTTTATTATTTTTTTACATGTTATTGCACATGGCGGCACTATATACCAAGTACAATTTATTTTCGATTTTTAAATTACTTTCAATATTTTTTACAAAATTTAAGCTATAAAATTAACTATTTTTCTACCCTTGCCAACATTATATTTTGATTAGGTCATTCAACTGTAAGAAGTAAGGACTTCATTGTACCTAAGGTACGTCAATCAACTATGCAAGAGAGTACTTTGATAGATCTTGCTCAAATTAGTACAAAAATATGCAGATAAGTTAGACATGTTCATGACTATATCTCAACTTTGGTTATAATAAACATATTAATGAGGAGAAAGTATGAATACATGTATGAAACAGACCATATTTACATGGGAAGTTGTACAGTAGAAAAAAGTATATCGCAATTACTGCATTTTCAAATATAATTTACCAGCATGGGAATCATGTATATAAACTTCTCTATTTATATCCAAAAATTCAACTAAACACAATTAGAATTATCTAATATATCTGGTATGTAGCAAGAATGTTTAGTAATGTTTTCACCTAGATAGCAACATGGGGTAATAAAAGAAGGTTCCTTGAGGCTGATAGAAGACTAGATTATTTACACAAAAAACCCTTATATAGGCGTATGCTTACATATATGCGTGACTACTATTGTTATTACTCTACTTTTTGGGAATTAAGCATACAACATAACTGATTTACTTACTATCTAAATTCTTATGCTATAAAACTTGGAAAAATCTTTTATTTTCTCTTTGTGATATTTATTATTATATAAAATTATAAAATCTGATGGCATTACAGCCAATTGATGAATGATTAAAGCAGTATCTGATGCTGCAGCTGCCTGTACAAGTTCTGAATTAATTACCCGATATATAACTATGAATTACTTAACAATCTTTTCAATTAAAATTGTTGTCCAGATTATTAGTAATAAGATTTATTACTTCAATTGAAGACTTGCTTATTGTACCGTTACTTTGCAAAATTTTCTCTAGAGCAGAAATCAATTTTAATAATTCAATTTATCTTAAGTAGATACCTCACATTGGTAACAGTATGTAACATAATCACAAAAGGACAATGATCAGCACTAAATGAAGTCTTTAATGAATCAATGGTCCATAAAATGTCGTGCAGCACAGTTCATTGTTACGATTGCAATATTAAATCAGACAAGCTCAATGTAGGTGATACGTGGTGCCAGGGGTCAGAGATCGGACGTTTGCGCCCAGTCAATTAGATACAGGCATAGCCGCTATCATATCACATGTACAAGCAGGGTCCTTATCTAGCGCCCAAATATATACCTATGCACATACATACCTTGATTGCACCTACATCAAATTTATTTGAAATCACATAGTGCTGAAACAAACCATGTTAGGTAATATTTCAGTTTTATGATAACATATCAAAGTTTTCTATTTAAACTGTATATAAATCAATTTAAAACTGATAATTGTTATGTCATGTTATACATTAAATCAATGATTCTGGTTGAACTTTGCACCCAGACTGTATGTAATGTATGTTAAATGTAGTATTTTATTGTTTGTTTTACAAAACTTACAACTTTTACTGTATACAGACATAAGGATATCATGAAAAAGAAAGCGGACTTTTTGTATATTTTTAGCAAGTAAACTTTTAAAAATCAAGCAAAGACTCTCAAGTAAATATTACCATAATTCTTAACTTTCTATACTGTAACTGACTTTACTAACTTTTCATTTGTGTATATATATTAGTGACTATTAGCATAAAACTGTCTAGACTATACTTTCAACCTAGAACCTGTAAGACCTGTAAAATGTAAATTTTTGGTTATTTTACATTATTACAGTCCATTTATCAAATCCACACTGGATTAACATTGCACTATAGCCGGTTAGAACAATTTAGTCTGGTTCTACTGGATAACTGGACATGAATAATGTAACCGCCGTTTAAAATAGTCTTAATATATGAAAATACTAACTCTTACAGGAATTTGCGTGTCGGTGATGTCTAATTAAAAATATATTTTATAGTTTCGCCAATTTTCTTCCATTTTTTTTTATGTGTATTGTGTGACGGAAACGATGTTTATGTGTATTGTGTGACGGAAACGATGTTTATGTGTCAAACGCACAAGTAAACGAGTGTACGGTTTACTTTCGTCTGGCAATTAACCGTTTTTAATATCACTGCCCGTTTTATTGCGGCTGCTGCGTAAACTTTCGAGTCGGAATCTATGATTTACAATTTTTCTAATTCTCACCGCTCTGTATTTCGTGAAACTAATGGCGGTATTCTTGTTTCAGGTGCTGGTGAATCGGGGAAAAGTACGATAGTTAAACAGATGAAGTAAGTCGATTATATTTATCCGGCCCCCCCCCCCCCCCCCCCCCCCCCCCCGGGGGGGGGGGGGACCCCCCCCCCCCCCCCCCCCCCCCCCCCCCCCCCCCCCGGGTTTTTTTTTTTTTTTGTTTTTTTTTTTTTTTTTTTCTTTTTTTCCCCCCCCCCCCCCACCCTTTTTTTTTTTCCCCCCGCAGGCGGAAACCAAGGGGGGGGGGGGGGGGGGGGTTTTCCCCCCTTTTTCCGCCCCCCGGACAAAGGGGATCGCTACCTACCTACCTATATTTATAATTTACTTTAGATTGAACACCATGTATACCATAAGCCCAGTATTATATATTTTTTAATTCGTGCAAAAATTATAACTGTAAGGTAGAACTTTGTTTGTGTTAAGCAATTAGCCCTATAAGCTAATCTTTTAAGTGAAAAAAAAGAATCTGTCTGTGGTTTACGCTACACATTTAAATAAAACTATTTTAACGGTTTAAACCGTCGGACTGTAGTTAAGAGAATGTGTAAAATATATTTCAGTAATAAATTTCGCGTTTTAAACCGTTACAAATGATTTATTTAAACAAAAACTACATTTGGATTACAAAAACCTGTTCGAATGCAATTATATTACCATCAGAATTAAAACGTGTACTACACATTAAATAGGTAGCTAAAGTACCCACTTATTTGATTGACTTTGGACAGTCAAAGATAGTGAGAGATATCTACGTGTAAAGGAAACCTACCTATGCGGTTTTAAACATGTTGAAAGTGTTTAATCATCAATGAATTAATCTATTTCTAAGATCGGTGATTGATCAATATAAAAGACAGAAAGTTAAACTATCACATATTTACAATGTGATACAAAGTGAGATATCGTTTATCGCTACCTAATCAATAAGTGTTCGATAAGGTATCGCGATTTTTAACAAATTGAAACATCACGTTGTTGCCTGGAGTTAGTAAAAATGTGAGGCATTTGGTTCTTGGTTCGTCTACTAAAAAAAAGAAAAATTCGAATCGTATTTTAAAACGCTTAATACCGTTGGTAGGATTTTTTTAAATATATTTTATGAAAGAGGAAGACGAAGAGGAGAGAGGAAGTGTTCACTTGATGGTGGGTGAAATACTCCAGCCATATAACATCTCAACAAGGTGCGCTGTCGATCTATATTGGCTCTGGATATTCGGAAATCCAGAGAATGATAACAAAACGCGAAAATATAAATTTATTAGAAATATATTGGACTCAATGGAGATCGAAACAACGCGATTCGTTGATTCTGATTCGTGATTGATATTCAAAATTCAAAGAAACAATTCCAATTATACATATACATAATAACATATAAGATACTGTCTATACTTTACGCGAGTAGTACACATTTAAATAAAACACTTTAACGGTTTAAAACGCGATATATTTTAGTTAAACTTATTTGAAAAATGATTTTTAACTTCGGCCCGACGTTTCAGATGCTTTGCAGCAGCCGTGGTCACGGGGAGACCTATAAGATTATAACCGATATAAACAATAGACAAAAGAAACATGCAAAGTAATGGATTGAGATTTTTTACTTTCTCTCTATTACAGTTGCAAATTAATATATGCAAATGAATAATAACTTAGTCTAACTGTTGCAGTGTCTCGTAAAATGCAAAATATATTAATGCAACTCAAAATTGCGTTATGTTAAATTCACGTGTAATATATCGCTTAGATGTCTTCGGTCATGCACCTCTCGGGCGCACTATGCATACATAATGAAAAATAAATTGTATTTGTTTATTCTTATATCGACGGTTTTGCATGATTACTGAATAGTTATTCTCATTTACAAATACTCTTCAGAAAGTAGTAGATGACATTTTTACCCTACATATAAGTCTATATAATAGTTTCGGCCGCTTGATGTCCCCCTGCTGGACATAGGCCTACCACATAGACTTCCAGTAGAACCAGGACGTTCGTCACTCAGAACCAAGTCTATATAAACACCTGTAAATAACACCATTACGGGTTTAGAACTAGTAAAGTGCAAAGGAACAGTTTCCTTGGCTCAACAGTTAACCATGTTGCTTAGCATTTAAATAAAAATAATTTAAATGGTTTAAAACACGAGATATATAAATTTACTTGTTTTGAAGTTAAATAATTTTAAAATATGTTAATTTATATATTCCCGACATTTCGGACGCTTTGCAGAGTAGTCCCTGGTCACGAGGATATGTATCACGTTTTAAATCGTTAAGTGTTTTATATTCATGTGCATTATTCGCGTAAACTATAGACACAATTGCATTAAATAAATACTTCCTGTAGTTTACGCGAGTAGTACACATTTAATCACAGTGATCACGGATCTATCGAAACGTCGGGCCGTAGTTAAAAATAACTCTCAAACAAGTTTACCTAAAATATATCGCGTTTTAACCCGTTAAGGAGTGTGCTGTTAAGAAACCTTTATAATTGTTTCTGGCTTGGCAGGGTACAGAAGCATGATTAAGTAAATTGGTGTTATTAGCAATCGATCGGTGAAATACAAAGTAATGTGTCTATCTCACACTATACAGTAGAAACAAAAGTACACTAAAAGCTTTTAAAATTAGTACAATTATCACGAAAATGTTTAGAGCTATACAAAATTACATCTAAACTACTTTGTTCTGAATACGAACAACTTTTTGAACTGATACTACGATCCTACCAAGTCTGCGGTGTCCTACATTTGACGTTTAATTACATTTTAAGCCCTCACAGTTCGAAATTCAATCGCCTGTAAGCTCTTGTAAGTTTAGTGACGTCAGAGGAACGGGATGTTAATCCTATAACTATATCAGGAGTATGACGTCAAGATTGACACGCATGCTCAGTGTCTCTCTGAAAAATTCTGTAATCGAAATGATCGCGATTTTGTTGAGGCGCTGTGATTATTTCACCGTTTTGAAAATATATCTATACTAATATATAAGGCTGAAGAGTTTATTTGTTTGTTTGTTTGAACGCGCTAATCTCCGGAACTACGGGTTCAAATTAAAAAAAAATTTTTTTGCTATAAAATTGCGCTGTGACTAATAAAATCGAAGATACAGCGTGAAATGTGAACGGATCGGGGGGAAATTTTTCATCGCTGTGGGTTCAGATGCGTACCAAACGAAAACACCAAACACATATGTATGAAAGAATAATTCCTCTTTAAATTATCTAAATAAAAGCGACGCTAAATGTCTATATTTTAAGATTAACTAGTAAGAACGACTGTAAGGGATACGACCGACATCGTGGGTAACAGCTTAAGTTTATAAAGATGATGCAAAAGCGAATTTGGATTCAAAATAACTATTCTACGCGGACGAAGCTGGCGCAGCTAGTGTATTTATTTTATTATTTATTTTTTTAACTATTAGTTTACGCCAGTAGTACACATTAAAATAAAACTCGTATATATTGTAACTATGACACGTCGTTTCGGTTGCTTTGCGGCAGCCGCGGACACGGGGGTCACTAATATTTGATTGATATGTATGTACAGTAATAAGTTTAATCGTTCATTATATATTAGGTTTTTAATATAGCCCACTTTTTGGACTCCAGCCATCTATCAAATATGACTAGGATTTCATAAAAGTGAAAACAGATAACACTTCCGTTTGTACAGTGCGATCTCTATTGAACTTGATAACTTTATGTATTACTGGTCGTAATTAGATAACGGAAGTGTCTTGTTTCCCATATTATAAGTAAACGTGAGTCACAGGTATTTCCCAGGCCTTCAAATGAGTAATAAGCCGCTTTGTAAAACGAAAACTCGTTTGCAATTTTGTCATAGCCAATAGTGAAAGTGTTCATAGTAATTTATTAAACTTGTTTTGCGTCATAAAAACTAATTTGTAGTGACTTGTTTGATTGTAATTTCGCTAATGGTTTTTATTGGAATTATAAAATACCGTCTGTTGTTTACGCGAGTAAAAACTACTGCTTCAAAAGCGATATATAGTAGTTACTTATTTGAAAATTATTTTAACTACAGCCTGACGTTTCGGATGCTTTGCAGCAGCCGTGGTCACGGGGAGACAAGAAAGCATCCGAAACGTGGGGCTGTAGTTAAAATATTTTTTTTAATTAGTACACCTAACATATATCGCGTTTTAAACCGTTAAAATGTTTTATTTAAATAGTATTTTAAAAATGGATTTCATATAATAGGTACGTTAAAAACTGTGTTTTTGTATGAGAATGAGTGATTACATTTTTACGTACATATATTATAAAATAACATGGCCATAGTATGCCATATGACGTTGGTCTAATGGTAGCAAAGTATGACTAATAACGAAATATATAATCAACGGCTTGTTGGTTCGGTCCCCATCGGATCCAACATTTTTCTAACCAAATTATAATTTTTCTGAAACACATTGGACTTTGTCTGGAAATCTAGATATCAAATAGGCAGTAGGAATATCAGAATTCCGTAGGTAATTAGGCCGACAGCGCATCTTGTTTAGATATCATATAACTGGGGTATTTTACCTCCCATCGAGTAAAACACATGCCTATCTGTTCGTCTCTATCATGTAAAAAATAAAATTGTATACATTAAAAGAATTTCCACTCTATTCGTATGCAAAACTGCGGGACGATTACGCAAACGAGATAAGAATCCCTCGAATGGCCGTGTTGTTGCGGCGAGTATCCACGAAGCGATTTTTAAGTAAGCTAAGCCATTGTTCACGCTGAGGGTGCTTCTCGGAATGGCCTGGTGCTAACGAGTAACGCACGCTCGAGTGACGTGCTTCATTGTAGACTCGGGTTCCTTGGATCTCGTACTAGGTGCCTCCCGTGGTGATATGCCAATATTATCAGACACTGCACGGCTTTGTTCTTTGTTAGTTCTAATACGATAACTTACATAAATTGTTCCTGAGATGTTTCCTTGATTGTTCGAGAGCCTTCGTAAATCAAAAATCTATAAATACTGTTTCTCAATACATAAAATAAGACTAAACCAGTTCCTACAAATACCAATACGATGATACAGATGGCGCTAGCGTAGCAGTTTTGATTAACGTTAGGTCCATCTTCAGTACCCCCGTGGCCTCATCATGGTGGATGCCCCGTGGTGCATCAAATAATTCGAAGTTAAAATAATTTGCAAATATGTGTTAACTAATACATTTCCCGTATTAAACCGCTAACAGCTTTCTATAAATTGCTGTTCCACTTCTGTAAGCTACATGCTATGCTTTATATTCAGGAAGTGAAAACAACGTGAGTTAAAATTGCAGATCTCCGCGATTTTTATATTAATTAGATTCTTTTACTCGATTCATTATTTAATATCACTTCTCTCCCAACAGAATTATTCACGAGAGCGGCTTCACAAATGAGGACTTCAAACAGTATCGGCCCGTTGTGTACAGCAACACGATCCAGTCACTGGTGGCCATATTGCGCGCGATGCCCAACCTCGGCATCACATATGGGAACAAGGACCGTGAGGTAATTTCTCCGAATCTTCTTGTACAGTGCCACCAAGTTTAGACTTTCACATATAAAAATTTAATACTGTCTATAGTTTACGCGAGTAGTACACATTTAATAAAACACTTTAACGGTTTAAAACGCGATGTATTAGTTAACTTATTTGTAAATGATTTTTAATTTCGGCCCGACGTTTCGGATGCTTTGCAGCAGCCGTGGTCACGGGGAGACTGAAGTAAAAATCATTTTCAAATAAGTTTAATTAATATATCGCGTTTTAAACCGTTAAAGTGTTTTATTTAAATATACGTTTTTTTAAGCTTTTGCAGCAAAGCTACTTGAATTTTAAACTTCGAGAACCATGCTTTAATTATGAATAGCTTAAGAAGTAACTGAGCTAGGTATTTTTTTATATGATTGGAAACTGACTCGAACCTCAATACCAGCGTAATAATCTCTCGTCATCGCATTACCTATTTAATGATCAGATTTGTGATCTGTGGTTTCACGTCTAATGTGAATGTCACAATTAAATTAAATTAATTTCAAAATAATAACAGTATACCAATAACTAGATTCAAGTATTTTAACCACCAAAGAATACACACATACAAATTATACACATGTAAGAAAATACAAAATGGGTTACAATTATGACATACCACTAACATTGCTGTTGATCACTCAGCTGCAACAGATTTGCTGCAGCACCGATTTTCAGTGATGCCTTGTAGATGACGCTTTGAGTGACTGCCAGAAATAATAAGTTTAAAGTTAACAAGGAGAAAATAAAGAAATATAAAATAAACTATACAAAATAACTAAAACTTATTTTAATTTGTAGGTATTAAAATTAATACTACATAGTGCATATCAGTGAAGTAATATTTTTAAATAAAATGTTTTAAAGCTAACTTGTCGACCTACATTCATGCCCCTGTGCGACTCGATTTTTTGCGTCACAGTTATAAATTACGATTTATTCAATACAAGTGCAAAAACTTACATTTTCGTTCTATTCAATTATTTTGCTTTGAAAGGCTAATCTATGAATACGAATGTATATATAGAAGGTAAGTTTTTTTATTAATGTGAATTATCTGTAACGAAAGCACTCAACGCTGTTATGAAAACGTCTAAACCATTAATGTTGTAATGGCCACCATTAACCGCTTCATTAAGAGCATACAATTTTATCGGCTAAGCCCTAAGCAAACGTTTAAAAATAACCAACAAGACACGCTCGTACGAACGGATCATTAGTGATTCGGGCGTCGGGTCGTATTAATATTACGCAAATTATACGCGGTACTCGTAGGATCAGTTCATGTTCCATATTTAACATTGAATTTATAAAAAAAAATCGTTATGGAAGGACAAATAAGCATGGGGGTAGGCAATTCACTTAATCTAAACAAGGTGCGGCCTACTTAGGCTTTTGATATTCAGACATATAGATATAACGTAATAATAAATAAACCCTTGATTACTACAATAGGCTTGATAGTTTTTGCCCTTAAGAAAGCAAGAATTCAAAATATAACATTGAAATGATGCGCTGTCGATCTTTTATGGTTTATGATATTCGAAAATCCACATACTGCAACCGAAATGCGCTTAAACTCCGGACGGAATTTAGATATTCCCACCATTCATTTAATGTCCAGATTTCCAACATGTTTTAGAATAATTGTAAATTTGTTAAAAACATGTTGGAGGTGGTGAGGATCGAATCCACGACCAACGGGTCGTAATAACGATTAGCTAATACACAGCTAATACACCAACGGGCTCTTTACATTATAAATTCGATATAAGTATTTCAGCTTATTTCATAGTTTAGTCGTGTTTGATCTCGTATGTATAATATTCGATAATACACAAATGTAAGTGTTTTCACAAGTGTTGAGAGCGTAAATCAAAATGGCATTTTTCTTATGTGTCCCATAGTGCATTGCAATATTAGAATGACAGTACACGCCGCTAGTATCGCGTTTATCATACATTCGGAGACAAAGGCGAGACCAGAATTCATTTTTACTCACGCATTGTTTCGCGAAGGTCATTGCAAGCAAGTGTATGAGATTTCTATAAGCGAGAATGCACAAGTTTTGTATAAATTTATTATTTTTTTAGTTAGATTATTTGAAACAGAGATTAATAATATTAGTCCTTAAAAAAAATGGCTTCCTATTGCTGTGTATATATTTTCATATTTTGTAAAATAATTAATTGTTTTATTAAATACTAGCTGTGCCTGCTACTTCTTCCGCGTGGAATAGTGACTTGGGGTAGAATGTTTAATTGTTTAGGCTGTTTATTAATTTATGTAAGGGCGCATTTAAGGCAGCTAATCTATGTTGTTAGTGCTACTTTGTCGCAACACTCTCACCTCACATCACTCCTACTCTCACTCTCACTCCCACTCCTATTCCCTAAAACCCAAAGAAAAAAGTTTCACTGTTCTAGCTTCAAAAACCACGAATTTCCATACTTAAATATAAACTTTCATCCTCTTTTTCAACCTTATCACCCTTATTTGGCATTAAAAAGTAGCCTTGTCTATGTCCGTGCCATGTCCTTTCTTAGGCTCTAAAATATCTGTGTACCAAATTTCATTAAAATCAGTTCAGTAGTTTCGGAGTTAAAGCCGGACAGACAGACAAACTCTTCAGCGTTATATATTAGTATAGATAGACTATATATATAATAATTTAAGTAACTAAGTAATAGATAATTGACTAGGTACACATATTTCGTTTTATTAGGGGAAAAAAGGCTTCATTTTATTTAGAACTTTGATCTTTTAAATAAAACACTTTGACGATTTAAAACGCGATATATTTTAGTTAAACTTGTTTGAGGATTATTTTTAAATAAGGCTCGACGTTTCGGATGCTGGGGACGCACGAGTCGAGAGAGGAGTCTCCCCGTGACCACGGGTCATACAAGTTCAACTAAAATATATCGCGTTTTAAACTGTTAAAGTGTTTTATTTTAATGTGTACTACTCGCGTAATCTACAGACAGTATTTAACTTCGATCTTAGTAAGTTTTCATAGGTGTTGTATAATTAAGAATTTGAAATTAAAGTTTTATATAATATTTTTTGAACAAAATCTTTTCTTATATTATTCCTTTCATCTACGAAAATAATTCAATACCTAAAGCTATAATGAAGACGTCATTAAAAATCTAATTATTTCCTTTGATACCGTCAGCAGAGAAATTAGAGCTTTAGGCGGTTATGCTTTAAAACAGAGGAAATCAAGAAACGTCAAATTATAATAGAGAAATTAAAGAAAAGAGAGGTTTAAAAAATATTTAATTATTTCTAACACTCAAATTGATATTGTCAAAAGGTTGTACAAAATAAAAACACGGATGGGACTCGAACTCAGGACTCTACACACTCTGTTACGTAGTCCACGTGGGCTATAATAGTATTTTTCAATCAATTTATACGTGCATCTCTCGCGCAATGAAATGTGTCAATCTTAATAATACTATTTTTTAAAGATCGAAAATTTTTTAATTTATTTTCGATCTTTAAATTATATAGTGCCTTCATGTTCAATAACATGTAAAAAATAAGAAAATTTTCAATTCTGTTTTTTACACAGACATGATCCTATGGCCTGTTGACTTACCCACGATAGATAGTTGTTACCCACGATGTCATCTGCGTCCCGTTGTTCTTGCGAGCCCATCGTAAAATATAGGCGTATACTGTTAGTGTAATAATACCATTCATAAGTCTTTTTGGGGTATCTGGGTAAGATTTCGTGGCGCACGCATCAGTGTAAGATATTTCCCCGTTTTTTCCACATTTCTATGATCTTTTTTGGTCAGATCGTAATGTTTAAATGCTCTCACCAACACAAAAATAATTATTCAATTCGAACCAGTGGTTCTTGATATTAGCGCGATCAAACAAACAAACTATTCAGCTTTATATATAGTATATATGATCAACCCTGTTATTCTTATCGTGAATTATTTTTCGCGCAGCTGTAAAATTTTCCCGTGAAAAGCGAAAGTCAAGATGCCTTCGCCCTCTACGATATCTCGTGAGAGTGACAATAATGCGCGATAACACTATCAGCGAATATCAGAGATGAATTCAATAACACAACATGTTATTCGTAATCGTGTTGGCTAAGCGTTATCGCGTTACCTTCAAACAGTTGTTTATGGACTCGTGATGTAACGGGTTTTCAGACGATTTGTAATTGCGTTTTAGGCAGGGGATTCTTTAGCACATCTGGCAGACCTGGCTTTAGTGATCCTGAAATTTCGTGCAGAAATATTGCCGCGTCCCTATTTACCCCACCCATAGAACGACCCACGCGAGGTGTTCACCCTTTGTGTACTGTTTCCACGAAAATATTTTTGATAAAACGACCCAAGCGGGGTGTTTGTTCCGTCGATATATGAACCGCACGTAGCACAGTTACAAATACGTCAAACTACCAAATACTGTCTGTAGATGACGCGAGTAGTATACATTTCAATAAAACACTTTTACGGTTTTAAAATGTCAATTATATTAGTGGAGGAGATCACCGGTGCCCGTGACCATGGCTACTGCAAAGCATCCGAAACGTCGGGCCGAAGTAAAAAATCATTTTCAAATAAATTTAACTAATATTCCGCGTTTTAAACCGTTGTAGTGCTTTATTTAATAGTCATACTACTTTTTAAATAAAACACTTTAACGGTTTAAAACGTGTCTCCCCGTGACCACGGCTGCTGCAAAGCATCCGAAACGTCGGGCCGAAGTTAAAAATCATTTTCAAATAAGTTTAACTAATATATCGCGTTTTAAACCGTTACAGTGTTTTATTTAAATGTGTACTACTCGCGTAAATAATAGACAGTATTTAGTCAACATACTTTTTTTTCTTTAGCCGTCTATATAATTATATCCTCGTGATATAATTTACGATCATAATATCTAAATTGAATCAGTCCTCTGTCAAAACTCATATGAAAGTGTCTAATTTTTGCCATCTTTATTGAAGATAAAATGCCGATGCGTTGTCAACTTATTTTGACTTTGGATATGTAAAAACGACCATACACGCCCTATAGGGAAGGCTCTTCTAAAAATTTCTTAACATTAACAATTATATTGATACCATAGACATACGTAGTTTTAACAGAGAAATCTCTAGAAAATTCTTTTCGTCTAGACTACAATCACAAGAAATGATGTCACTGTTTTATAGTAGAAATAATTCTGTAATTGCTTGGGCGAGCGTCTCGTTCTGAACAAGTGGCGCTAGTCACAGTTCCGGACTACTAACTGAACGGGCACGTGAATGAAAAACACATGAATATCTTGAACCGTATGATAACGGGCCGTTCTTACCATATTCGTCTTCATATTTGCTCATCATTTGTTTAGCACTATGGGCTAGCTAGATTGCTACAACAGCGAATACTAAGTTCTTTAAAGATCGTATGTGGCTACGATATACGAAATGACCACTCTTTGTATTGCCTCAGTATATCAGACTTATCAACTACTAATAAATTAATGAACTTAGTGTAAATTATCCAAAAACTTTTCTTTTTCTTTCAAATTTATTGGTTTGTGGCCAGTAGTGTAGTTTAAATAAGGACTTTAGCGTTTTAAAGGCGATATATATTAGTTAAACATATTTGAAAATTACTTTAACTACAACCCGACGTTTCGGATGCTTTGCAGCAATCGTGGTCACGGGGAGACGGTGGTGTAGTTGTGTTGCCGCTTAGTGATACTTAGTAATTCCGTAGCTCGGCTTAAATATTTCTGTTATAGAGCTTTATTAGATATCAGAAAACAAAGATTTCATGTTGAAATTGTATTATATATTTCAAGTTAATTTTTCACCCCTATGTGTGCTTTGTTCAATATTCAATTCAATTAGGTACATTTAAACTTTACATGTTAGTTGTGTCCAAAAATTAATACAACCCTTAATTCCTGCTGCCCTTGATATTTCGGATTATGGAAAACTTATCAATGTGTATCGCTTTCACTATAATAAATCTATACGCGCCAATCGTGACAGGTGCTGCCGATCTAGTTGCGATAACATCATTGATTTTATTCGTTTTCGTTTATGGACCTATAAACTCGTCACATTTTATTCTTATATTCCTTAATAACGCCATATATACATGTGATGTGTGATAATTGTTATGCATAATTAAAGCTGTGGTCCTATACACGCCGTAAGCTAATAACAAATGTCTAGCGGCCAATTATTATAAACACGTATTGTTGGCTCTTTCACACGTCGATATGTGTAAATTCCAAATGTCTTGCGCGTGAGATGTATCGACGAGCCATTTGCGCGGCAGCTTGGCTTTCCTACGGATTCGTATTTTTTAAATTAATTTACTATTTATTACTAATATTTTTTTTCATATAAATAATAAATAAAAATAATATAATTATTTCAATGGTTTACTGTCCCGTGTACGGATTGTTACGATTTATGTTTTTTGCGTTTATAGGAGACCAAAATCTAACATTCCCTTTATCAATATTCGCGATAATTGTGATAACATATTTCCCAATATAGTTCTGACATCAGTACTTTGTTTTATTATAAAGGTCTAATGAGTGAATATAGTTGATAATTTACTTATACTAATAATGAATGAAATACTCTTGCCATATACATCAAAACAAGATGCACTGTCGACTTATTTTCGCTTTGAATATTCGGAAATCCACAGACTGAGACTGAAAGGCGATTGAAATCTGTGGTTCGTGACCCGGACGTAATTTCGATATTCCTACCGCCTACTTAATATCCCGATTTCCAGCTCAGTTCCAACATGTTCCAGAAAATTATAAATTAGAAAAATGTCGGACCCGTGGATTATTGACATACATTGCTACAAAGAGGCCGTTAAAACATAGTAACTAATCGCTAAATATGAATCTCTAATTAATGACGGCTCAAATAAACACGCCCCGCTGTTTGCGCTATCATTTACGTTATCTACTGTGGGCATAAATGGCGCGGGCGAAACCTATCCACTAACCCTGCGCAGATTAATGTCGTGTGCACTGAACTTATCTATGAGTGACAGCCCTAACATATTCCTCTAGATATGAACGTCCCGTTTCAAGTTGAGTGTTAATAGTTTTATACTTGCTGTTTTAATGTTGACAGGTTTGCTATAAAAGTGAATGCTAGGGCTGTCCTTATATAGCGCATGTTTATAGACGTTACAGAATTGAATGCCTTTTTAAGATCTAGTTTAAATAAAGAATTATTAGTGTTGTATTCAGTTAATCTCAGGAACTATTGATGTGAATAGAAATTGAATTCTTATATTGGTTGGATCTTTTATTACAAAGGCTTTAGGACTCGATTAATAGAAGCGAAAAAACAGTGGCAAATGTGGAAAAAACGGGTTTAATTATTAACCTATGTGTGTATCCGTGACGTGCACTGCACATATCAAAATTATACTACCATAAATAATTAAAAATAAGGTCCGCGACAGTATCTGTCCATTTTTTAAGATTAACTAACAAGAACGGTTTTTATGGTAATCAAATTTGGTCAAAATATCTAATATGGCAAAAAACATTTGCCAGGTCAGTTAGTTTAAGATATAAATTTCCATACCAATCGCCTACCGCAAAATTTTCTGAAGAAAATATGTTTTCTCCGTTTTTATTATTTACTCGGAAAAACTACAAATATCTCTGAATTACGATAAATTACTTACATTAAATTTAATGAACATTTAAATCATAATACTGCGATAACATTCAACGAAATATGCTCATTATTTTAAAAACAAAGTAGCAGGATAAAATTCTTCGCGCTAGATTAATTTATGTACAGTACATTTTCCTGTCGTTTTTAGCGTGTATGCAAAGTAAGATACACTGAGTACACAAAGTGTTACTAAGTAACTTCATTAGCGTGTAGTTTCAAGTGCATAGATATCTTTATGTATGAAATTTCCTGCAATAGTACTTAAGGTAATGGCAATTATAATTGTCATAAGTTCTCCTTCTTTATGGCTAGATTTCCCTTGTAAAGCTTTGATAACTAATATAATGATGAACAAATCACAGTTATAAATGTAACATTATTATAATTATTTTTCACATATTATTATATGAATTAACTATTGTATGTATTTTCGCCTCGTAACGTTATGACACGATTAAATAAAACACTGTAACGGTTTAAAGCGAGATATATATATATATATATATATATATAACTTATTTGAAAATTATTTCAACTACGGTCAGACGTTTCGGATGCTTTGCAACAGTCGTGGTCATGGGGACCAACTGCAAATCGTGTTTTAAAGGGTAAAAGTTTAAAAAAAAAAAAAAAAAAAAATACGGCTTTTAAAACCGTAAAATTTTTTTATTGAAATGTGTGATACTTGCGTAAATTGCGGCAGACAGTAGATAAATGACACGAGTAAAAATTTAAAAAAAAAGTTACATATAAGTTTACAAATACTTAGTCTAACTAATATGTCGTGTTGTTCTTTAAGTTCTATAAAGGTTTTCCCTTACAATGTAAAATGTGTATTGATAGTATGATGATAAAACTTCAGTGTCGAAGCAAAATAAATTATAAAATTTGCGTGATAGGTATACTATATTTAGACAAATACATCTTATTCTATAAGTATACAATAATACGTCTATACTAATGGAATCGATTCCAGATAAAATATCTAATGTAGACATTTTTTGGGTGAATTTAATAATTAAACTATTATTTCCTTGATTTTAGAGTGACGGTAAAATGGTGTTCGACGTGATCCAACGAATGGAGGACACGGAGCCATTCAGCGAGGAGTTGCTGGCCGCGATGAAGAGGCTGTGGGCAGACTCCGGCGTCCAAGAGTGCTTTGGACGCTCGAATGAATATCAACTCAACGATTCAGCTAAATAGTAAGTGCTTATATATTTCTATTTTCCTGGTACCAGGCTGTAAATTTCTACATGCAGTGAGGAAGATTAAAAACAAATAAACACTTTTATCGTTTTAAAACTCGAAATGTATTAGTTAACCATTTACTCGTAACTACGGATGCTGTTGGAGTATTTGAAACGTCGTGCTGTAGTACAATTAGGTTAACTACTACATTTCGCGTTTTAAACCGTTAATAGTGTTTTATTGTATGTTATCGTACTATCGAAGGAAAGAAACACAAATAATACAACAACTATGCGTAACTTGGTTATCTTTCAAAAATAACAGTATCCGTTGTACAAATCGTGTACATATACAATTTACCAATAATTCTTCAGCTATAATTAATTGCCTTCTCTCTGCGTAACCATTACATATAAAAATGCTAAACTAAATAAATCCTACATTAAATCAGTCTAATTACGGTGAATTGAGACCCGGCGCAGGTTATTGGCATCTCTTGTCCCTATGCTTCAGGGTGAACTGGAGTGGTTCGTTAGGGATGTAAGTAGGGGTTACGCTGTACGTCAGCTCGCCGTGACGCCATGATACGTCGTATTTGTGGAATATCTGGAAAAGTGCGGGTAGTTTTGAAATGCGCTTTTGATATGACATATGAGTAATTGTTATTGTCCTTTTCATAATGTTTAAATTTTTATTGTTTATTTGCCTTTTCCTGCTGACGACTTATTCAAACTTAAAGCTGCAAGTTGCCATTGTAATATACAAACAACAAACAAACATTTTCTAAAAAGCGATATACTTTCAGACAACATACAAAATATCTTTGTCAAAGTATATATAAAATAAACATCACTTAATCTAATAATTTCAAACTAAACGAGAAGGACAATTAATATCTTTAAGCTTATACCAATTTGTATATTATACCCACAAACACAAATACATATCTCTCTTCAATCGACATTCGATCCCCGTGTACTAAACATTAGCATTTTCGTCACATGAAGTTCACAGTTGTCTTATGATTATTTTGAAAGCAACACGTACCTTGGCAAGCAATAACTGAAGTTCAACTTCCGCGAATCTCTTTCCAATACACATTCGCCGTCCGAATCCGAAAGGCAGGGACGCGAAGGGGTGAATGCCAACTACCCTCTGCCGGCGACACACGTCCACTGTGTGGGGCTCTGTGTCACTTTGGTGTTTGGCGTCCCTTAGCCATCTCTCGGGCACGTATTCCTCCGGCGAGGGGAAGTACCTCTCTTCGTTCGACATTATGTAGTGCGGGAATACTATGTGCGACTGGAATGTTTTTTTTTTTTTCACTTTAGTAGTGGAAAGAGTAGATAGAAATTGTAGAGGGCGTTCGCGGTAATTTTGCAAAGTTTCGTGTGTTTTCGACATGTTTGGTCGTCGTAATTCGTTATCGACGTTTCGTCATATGGATGACGTCGATTCTCAATTACGTCAGCCGAACAACTCAAGGATTAAAGTATAGGCGTTCTGTATTTACTCTCCTTTATGCTAATCATACAGCAAACTATTTTAGATTCAAGTCAAATTGTTTATGATTATTTTTTATAATACATAATATAAAATAACAGATTTATATTTATGATATGTGTGCTAGATTTTCCCTTCATTAGATACTTGTATTATGTCCAATTCTGTTGAATAATTCTTTATATAGAAAATAAGTAATTGTTTTTATATCAGCCAGCATTTCAAAGGTACATAAAATGTCTTAGTATTTTTTTTTATATGTATTTGTAATCAATATTGATCATTTTGACGAGTTGGTGGAGTTGATGTGAGTTTTGATAACACTAATATAATAATACATAATACATAATACATTTCTATGTAATAAGAGAAAATTTCTGTGTATGACTGATTTTCTTTATAAGAAAACTTCCTCTCTAAACTCATTTTACAAAAACTCATGGTATCTTTTGATTGAAAGCCATAACTCTTATCTTTTGTATCGAAGTTAGTACATCGTGAACATAGAATTGTTTGCTGCACACTTAACATCGATTTACTGTACGTTTCAATCTAGCTAAGAGCGCCGGGGAAAGTTCTTTTGAATACTTTAGTGTGTACTTGCATGAGACCGGATAATATACTCACCCCTTTGGGTACTTCATATCCAGAAATTACGGCATCCGATTGAATGCATCTACCGTTCCCCAATATCACTGGTTTAATTCTGAAAATTACAATATTATTTCTAAATACTGTATATATGTATATTATTTCTTTTAATCGCCGCACAGATTACTGGTATGCATATAGTCCTTGTGACAAGGACATTTAAATAAACCAAACCTTTGACCCTCAACCATGACGTAGCAATAAAAGGTAAATTGACAATTAATTTCGCGATTTTAACCGTTAAAAACGCTATTAATGTATTTCATTAAATGGCATTAAAATCGTTGGCGTGTTGCTCTTATTTTTTTTTTAATATATCAGTTTCCATGTCATTATGAAATTAAATCTTTTTATTACTCTGAAATTAATGTGATGTTATTTTGTATGCTTAAGTTATTTGTTGAGTATCAGGTAACTACTATGTGACGAAGCAAATTTCAAACTCTCGTTTTTAAAACAGCGAGTTCAAAGCTTTAATGATTACATAATGTAACAATATCTGTACCCGAAATTCTAGTTATACGTGTTAACAATTGTCTACGCTCCACTTGTTTCAAACGAGGCGAAGGAAACCATTTATTAAATGTTATATAATACAAGTGAGCTGTCCCCATGTTAGGTTGTTAGGGTTGAATACAAAATTCAGTTATTTGGGGAAAATTTAGTTAAATAAAAAATCGATTTTAGATTTAAAACATTTTTATCTTGAACCGGCATTCACAACGTGCTGTTGCTGTAACCAATTGAGCTAGTGTGTCATATAGTGGAAAATATTAATGTTTTCAAATAATAAGTTTTTGCACAACAAACAGTAATAAATACATAGCTACTTTTTTAAATATTCACAAAATACCATATTATAATAAAAAGGTAACATAGTGAGTTTTAAACGTGACCTAATGGTAAATACGGAAACCCTTTCGCGAGTCTGATAAGCCCTGTCCGGATTTTAAATAATATGGTAACGAAAGATAAGTTGTACAATTGCTTACATTAAGTCTTCTTTAACTCCTGAGTCAATGATTTAATGTCAGCTTATAATTAATTATTATTACTTTTTATTTTCCTTAACGTACGTTTGCCTCTACGAGGTCCTATTCACGTAAACTGCTGCATGTCATAATGTGATTCACGTCTCATGAATCATTCTCCAGCTTAGCCCTTACAATTTTAAACACCTCGAGTTAGAACTCTCGACAACTTTTACTTTAAATCGCAGGAGCATCTTAGCAACCCGCAATGCGATACTGTCGTGGTCACTGAATAAAACATAAGGTGAGGTCGGTCGTTACCATATATGTACACGTTCTTTGCATTTGCGCAGCGCAACTTGTATTACGATCTAACCGCGAAACGGCGGTAAATGTATGTACACTCAAAGCTACTAAATAAACTGGAAGGTTATTTAATATGGTTCGTGGCTTAGTACTGAACTTTGAGGGTCAGTGACCCAGGTTCCAAGTCTCGGGGGGAATATATTTGATTTCGTTTTGCAACCATTTATTTAAATACAGTCTGTAGTTTACGCGAACAGTACACATTGAAATAAAACACTATTACGGTTTAAAGCGCGATATAATATATTAGTTTAACTTATTTTCGTTACGTCGTGTTTTATTTAAACCATATTAATAACAAGTATTTTCCTCTTGGAAAAGCAGGTGTTTTTCTTAAAAATCCACTTGGTTCTTACCAAATACGCGTCTATAAGTCTTATCAGTTATTCCCTCGTATGATTTGTTTGATAATGACATTTCATAGCGGTCAAATGTTTTTAATGTCCCCTCCATTACCATTTAGACAATTGGACTAACTCACCTCAAGGCCTCCTTTAAACAGGCGCGTAGATATGGAAGCCGATCCAGGTCTCTGCTATTGAGTATCCTTCCCGCAGGAAGATTCTTGTCCAGCTCCCCTTGCAGCCGCCTTTGTGCTCTTTCATTCTTCGCCAAAAGGTACACAGTGCTAGCCGCAGCAGCCGCTGTTGTGTCAACGCCGACTAGCAGCAGATCCAACGCTAAAATCGTCGCCACCTTCTCCCCAGACACCTTCGCGATGCTGGCACAGATCCCTTTATCAGTCAGTCTCTTTAAGCAGAGCGATCTGAAGGAATCCAACGCATCTACGTAGGTTTTGTAAGCTGGGGTAGAATACAATCTCCACAGCGGCGCTGATAGCTCCAACTCGGGCACGCTGTGGAAGAAGCCGTGGATGCTCCTGATTATATCCTTAGCGGCGACATCATCATTGCTCAAGCAGCCCAGTCTTGTTCCCAAGGCCCAAGCTCCAACAGCTGGAAAATAAATACATGATAACGAAAATGCTTACCGCCAACTTTGTTATTTTTAGGCGTCCTCGCTTCGAATCTAGGGGAAACATTCGTTAATCGTCGCACAAGACACAATTCTAATCAACTACGAGAAGCGCATAGAACTGCCCCATGTACGGGGGCATAGATCACGAAATTGCTACTGTGAAATCGATATGACGTAAGATACATTACACTCCAATGCCCATTTGTAGAGTTCGGTGAGGTAATCTTTTGGCAGCTCGCTGTTTTCATCAAGCAGGCTCTCCATTCTGTAACGACGAGGTGTATTTGTAAAAAAAAAGTACGATGCTCGTTTGAGGAATATATAACGAAAAAAGTACATATTATGGAACATAAAACCCGTTTCTCTTATGTGGGGCTGAAATATCTGTCTTAGTTGTTCCGACTATTTTAGGTTTCACGGGATTCGCACTCAGGACTTCTCGCGCTTCATGATAATATATTTATTTAAATTAGTTTTTTTTAAACATTAACTAATATATATCGCGTTTAAGCCGTTAAAGTGTTTTATTAAATTGTGTACTACTCGTAAACTAACTACATACACTATTTGCTTCGTCAAATCCTGTTTCTATTTCATTGTTCTTCAGCGCCAAAAAAGTTGCCAAACTAACATCAAAGTGCGTACAAAAAATTGCGTAGACACTCAATCGAAACACCACTCTTCCATTGAACGAGATTGTTGTATCCGCAATGAGTCAGTGGCGTGCAGTGCACAAAACAAACGCAGACGAGCTCGCCGCTTAACGGATGTGGTTATTAAACCGAGATTCTCCACTTCGTACACTAAGCTCTTAGTCTGTATTAATAGTTGCTACTCGAGTAGCGCCAATTCCGAGATACTTGAACTATTTTTGATCGAGCTAATTTTAAATGTCATGTTTGTTTTAGAGAAATTAAATCCGAATACACCGACGTTTTTAGACATACAAAACCAACTCATCAAAAATTATATGGTTCTTACTTTTTGACAAAGTCTTCAGCGACGTAATCTAGGCAAGGAACCGCAGATCTTGCTGCTTCCGGGGACGCAAGCGCTTTTGACACCTTCGACCGGAATTTCGACCACGGCATCCCGTGACTGTTGACAACGTCAAATGCACATTAGGTTTTGTTACCGTTTATATCATCAAAACTTCTGTAGAAACTTACACTCCAATCAATCCTGGCTCGTCACCGAAAAAGTCCTTCCTCAACTCCTGTTTGTAGTGCTTCAGGCACGGCGCGACCGCTCTATATGGTAACGAGTCTTCTCGTCTATATATCTTCGCCGTCTCCTCAGCGCAGAACGGGAACACCAGGTCAGGGTGACCGAAGAGCTTCGCCACCTTCGCCGCGCCACCGGAGCCGGCTAATTCTCGTAGTCTCCACAGTGTGGCGTCGAGCGATTTAGTTCGCCACGGCTTCTGGCCGAGGGCAAACCGCCAGGAGTTACCAATGATCGGCAGGGGCTTGGGCCCGGGTATCATCGCGAAACGCCTCGCGTTGCCCATGGCGATAACAATACTAACAGCTCTTCAGCCCCTGGAGATAGTCGGACGCAGTGGGGCGGTCATGTTACGTTTTCAGATGTTTCGTAACACAAAGCGTTGACGCGTTTTACGCTTCACATGTAGACCGTACATACCAGTTCTTATTTGCCGTTTAAGTATACACAAAGATCTTGTTCAAATGGTGCGCAACGAGTTTTGACATAAGGTACACTTCGATGTTTAACATATAAACAGTTAAAGTATTAAATGATATTATATGTATATATAATGAAAACTTTATTTTTTTCATATGATGGCACTATATAGATCAACAGCAGGGAACATTGACGATGCCACTTAAAGTCCTGCCCGAGTTGAAATTTTTCTATATTCCATTTTTAATCGACTTCATAACCAAGTAGTACGTGCCATTGATAGATCTTGGTTTTCGAAGAATAATATGTCAGTCGGGCAGGACAAACAATTCTGATCACATTCTTGCCTGATAATAATATCCCCCACAGGCAACGGGGTTTCACTTATTATATAATGCTATAGATGTGTACGTATGTAAACTAAGCCTTCTCAATGATTGCGATGTCGTGTGGCGGCACTTTAACGCCTCGATGTTAATAGAAAGAAAACTCGTGCTTTCAATTCGTCAAGTGTTGGCCGGTTTAGGCTCGACGGCATTCTTCTGAATCGCTTTGACATCTGAATGCGACAGTACAGCATCGAAGCCAATTGATCTAGCTGATGTCACAGATGTGGTCAATTAACTGGTCCCCAGATAAGTGGGTGCGGTACAGTCGCGTCAAATGGCTCGTCCGGTTGTTCGGGGCTCCGTACGTTATGCGCGTTCCGCAATCACATCGCGTTACCCTTCCTTAATGTACATATTGGATAATACGTCATTGTGAGCTGCAAACGATCGTATTTGGCATGACGAAACATTTGCTTCGCCATGGGTTCCTTAAGACAATTCACACCTCGGTTTCGACAAAGCGACGGAACAGTGGGGCTGTCAATTTAGTGTGTCTTTTTTTGAATTTACTCGTTCGTTTAGTAGTACCAATGTATGGCTAATAATCAAGGCTAAATTTTTCAGATCAAATGGGGTCGTCCATTAATCACGTGGTCTTTAGGGGGGGGGGAGGACTTTTAAAAAATTACGAAAATAACACAAGGGGGGGGGTTAAGATATCGCTGTATTTATTTTTCAATTTCAATTTTTCGTTCGTCAAACGCGCGATTTTTAAACAAATGGTGTAGACATTTTTATTATGGTCTTTAATTTCAGAATAAAATAAGATTATACTCTATACCTGTATTTAAATTAAGATAATATTCAGAAAATTTTAAGATTCCTTGTAGGTACTAAAAATACACGTGATGTTTAGAAGGGGGAGGGGGGTTGTCTTAAACCTCACTACGTCTCACCAATGGGGAGGGGAGGTTCAAAAATTCAAAAAAAAAAAGGATCACGTGATTAATGGACAACCCCATGGTAGAAATCTCGAAATCTAGTCCGAATCACGAACAAATGTCATGGAAGTTTAAACGCGTTATCTCATGTCGGTTTGATTTCCATATATCCAAAGCCCAAAATAGGCCGACAGAGCATCTTAAATTGATGTTATGTGGTTGGGTTATTTCACCTACCGTCATGTAAACCCCTATGCTTCTCTGTTCTCTATCATAATAAAAATAATTATTTTATCGGTGTCACTGGTACATGGCCGTGTGATCAGCTGCTAACCATTTTCCCATTCCCCTTTGCGGAAGTCTTTGGGTTGCCCAACTCCTACTTTAAACTTTACGGTTTCTTTCCAAAATCTTATTTCTTCTATATTCAGTTGTTTGACATCATCTACTGCTATGTTCTTGTTTCCCATGTATGTAAATAGAGTTGACCCTCGGTGCGCCGTCGGTTTTTCGATTTGGTTCATTGAAATGCTCACGGATGTGTTGCAATACAAGGGTTTTTGTAATGGACGGAGCCAGACTCGGCTTTGATACTAATTACGTTGAATGAATCTCCTTTAAGACGAGGCGAGAATAAAGTATCTTAAGCTGTTTTCTTAAGAAGACGAATAGGAAATTTAATTTGCCATAATTTTTTACATTATTAACCGTCAAATTTTACCAATTAAATTCCACTTAAATCATAATTATTAAGTTTTAGATGGAGTTTGTCTAGTAAAATAGTATTAGGCGTATACCATTTTAGGTGATAGGTATTGATGTAAATTAGTTAATAGAGGAAGAATTTTAGATCCTGTGCCTTTTGAATTATAAAATCTGGTACGACCAAGCGTTCGTATTATATAACAGGGAGGCATTGAGGCACAAGCGGTCACGAATTTAAAGTCAGTTTTTTTAAAGACGGATAGTTTGATTAGATGTTATATGAGGCCGCTAGAGCCAGAGTAATTACTAATTAAATTACAATTTTAATATATCGCGTTTTAAACCGTTAAAGTGTTTTATTTAAATGCGTACTACTCGCATAAACTATAGACAGTATTTAACATAATTCTTACACAAATAATAGTACGAATTCATTTACGGGTCAGTTAATTGTGTATTTTTATATTCCTCCTTATTGGAAAATATGCTATTGTTATTAGGCTATTCTGGCTCTAACGTGGCCTCATATGGACGTGGTATATCACCTTCAAAAACACCATGCTTAAATACTGTTTATAGTTTACGCGAGTAGTACACATTTAAATAAAACACTTTAACGGTTTAAGACGTGATATATTAGTTAAACATATTTGAAAATGATTTTTAACTTCGGCCCGACGTTTCAGACGCTTTGCAGCAGCCGTGGTCACGGGGAGACTGTTAAAGAGGGAGCCGTTAAATGTTTTATTTAAACACCATGCTTATCATGCATGCTGTCCTCTGTCATACAAAAAAAAGGTATATAGGACATATTTGATCAATAGCCGTAAATCTCTATCGCTCACATTGCCACATCCCGAGTAACTAAATAACTACTACATTACTATTGTAATGACTAATAGCATTACAATAGCTTATAATAATACAAATGTAGGCATTATTTCTCAACCATCAGTTGTGTTCAAACGTTTGGAAAATCGATGCGTAATGCCCGGCACATTATGAAATATGTATAATGTCTTATGAAAACACGCGATGACTTTCATCTTTTGTTTTCTCTCCATCGGAGAGCAAAGATTTAACAGTTTGATAAGTTATAAGGTTTTTTTGCCTTGCGTTTGTTGGAATCTTATCTTAGAAATATGTTTAACATTTTATTAATCATGGATGGGACGCGGCAGTGTTGATCGTGGGTTCGAGTTGTGTTGAATTTTATTTTTATTTTTTATTAAAAATTTCATTTACTTCTTGTGTGTCTTAATTTGATAAGTATATGACATTGTACGCTTCCACAAAACGATGTGTAATTGGGAGCGCGTTTTTGCGCGAAATCCTCCGAAACGGCTAAATCAATTTTAATAAAATTTTGTATATACATTCGTCAGGCTTGACTGAATTATCTATGTTTTTGTCTCTTATTCGATTAAGTTGCATCTAAACATAACTTTGCTACTTTCTTCTAAAATATTATCTATATACATATTATATCAAAGTTGTCGGGTCACCTTTATCTATGTATATAGATTTGATTTTGTATAGATTGATGTAGATATTCAAAGTATTAGTAAACAAAAAAAAAGAATAGGTAAAGAACGAAAGATGTGATAGCAAAGAACTGAATACATTGAATCAATGCATGCTTTGTAGAGACATGGGGTTTGTATCCTCAATCCATTACGGCCGCAGAGCGGGGGAATGGGGGGGGGGTGGCGACAGATTTACGGTGATAGCGCGGCGGTCGCGTTAATTTCCGACACTTCACAGCACTCTTTGTGGTGTAAACTCGCAATCTTGCCTCACATTTCGGAATAAAAATGGAACTTGGTAAATTGTCTGCCTTTTACGACGACCGCCTTCGCCGCTCTTAACGCGAGCCAACTCGGGCGTGTTTCGTGTTTTTGTCGAATCCGTTTCTAGTGGAAATTTTAAATTACTGCCGGCCGAAACGTCTCCGCTTTTCATTAGTTTAGGGCCTTTGATGGGGCAAGATAAATTATTTAAGTTTTCATGTAAAATATGCTGTAATTGTTTGTGAAAGATGCTAAATATGCTACTGTAAACACGTAGCTACTAAAATAATACTTTCGCTGTTAATGTATGGACAGATAACTTGAGAATCCTATAATATGTACTACTTATTTATTGTAACGGTTTAAAACGCGAAATATTTATCTTTTTTTACTAAGACCCAACGTATTGCAGCGTGGTCGTCTTGCATAAAAATAACTCATATATTTCGCGATTCAAACCGTTGAAAGTACTTTATTTTATTTTTGAATGTGAGAAAACCTCGTATTATGAAACCTAGTTGCCATTGCGATATCCACTTCTGCTATCGAAAAGTGGATATGCCTAAAGCGAACGAAACCGGCACGGGCGTAGCACCGGAGTGGAATCGCGTAGTCTGACGCGACGGCGCGGGCTCGTATTGATCGGGCCATCACGCGCCCAGAACCTGTTGCCGGGCTGAAGTCGCTCCCCTCGATCCCATTGGTCGGCGCGAATGTATGCTGCATTATTTGAATTTCGAATTGTAGTGTTTAAATTATATTATGGAAAGGGCATGTTCTTTTCTCGATTAGTGGTGGAAAATTTGACTCATTTTTCCTTATTTTTTGTACATAGATTTTAAGCAATTGTAGCATATCTCAATAAAGAAGTGCTACTCTAACTGGAGCATCGACTAGGTAATCAATTGTAACTTTTATTAGTGTAAAATTTCATTTTTATGTGTTGTCTTAGGTACTGTTTGTAGGTATAGTATATAAGATTCAAACGCTATAGTAACTGTAAGATACATTCTTTGCAGACTTTAAGTAGTAAGGTTCTACCTTCTAGGTATGGAACCCGCTACCTATAATAATACAATGATTTTAGTATGAATCATCATTATAATGTCGATGTACATATATGCGGTACTTCAGCAAGTAAAACTATATACAGAGATAATGTCAAACGCAAAGTAGCTGTGATTCAATACGCCGATTACGGAAATGGATAAAAATGTCTGCTATTATTGTGTAGAGTTAAAATATCGTAATGGATCTAATAATGGCAACGGTTATTACTTTGTGGTGGTAACACACGTTAAGAATATTGCGAACACAGTATATTATTTTTCTATAATGCAGCACGGTATTCACTTTATGAACGGTGAAATGTCCCAACCATATAACATCTTCATCATTCATCATCATTTTTTTTTTGGGTTTTGGATATTCGGAAAGCCACAGACCGAAACGGAAATGCGATTAGATTTACGCCCTTTTCAATACCGTGTACACAGTATTCCGGTTTACTATTCCTACCATCCGTATTCCAAATCTCCATACGAAGTGCAATATGTTTTCAAAAGATTCGAGACAATTTGTACTCGGAGGGGTCGAACCCACGACCCGGTAATAATATTATATTAGCCATATATAGCCCGTTTTTAAAAACTGTACGTCAAGGACCTCTAGAGGCTACGATAAAATATTTACAATTAAAGTTTTAAATAGGCAATATAGAAGCAATGTAAAAAAGCCTGTTTTCCCCGGGTAAGACAGGAAGACACTTCCTGTTTGTTTTATTTATCGGTTTTATTTACGTACAAGGAGTAATCACACTGCGGTGAATCCAACCGAGCAGCAATTAATGCTTAACGCAATTCCAGGTGTGTAAACATTAAGCTACGAAGTATTCCAAATAGGGCAATAATCCTTCAACTGATAGTTAGTACTAATTAATAATCACTCCAATTTAAAATAATATTGCCGCTTTCTTTTTTCTTTGTCCCGTCATAACTTCGAGCCTATCTGCGCCATCTGAAATGTACGTCATTATCGGAATTTTAATTAAAGTTTAAAACACTCGGTGCTTCCCGAGCGTAAACACGCTCTGAGGAAGTGCGCTACGCTGGAGAGCTATTTAAACTCGTTTCAGGGAGACGCGACGAGACCTGCAATTAAAACTTACCTACCCACTTCCCGAAACAGGAGTTTCAATGTGTACTGTTGCTGAAGTGATTCTGAACTCGAGTGGTGTCAACACAACTCGATTACATTTTTTTTGTATTGTTCAAATTTTAAAAATAAAATATCTCTTTCTGAGGTACGGGATTGTTCGAAATTTTAAAGTAATATAACACATTTTTTTCTTGTACGTAAATGTTCGAATTTTAAAATTAACGTAACATTATTTTTTTTAATACAAGACTGTTCGAACTTTGAAAATATGTACTTTTCTCAGTTCGTTAGTCTAGTGGCTTCCAAAGATCAGTGCATGAGCACAAACGACGATTTCAGACAATTTGCAATTATAATTTAATCATTTATGTTTAATGTTTATTTATCGTGTACAGCTAAAAACAAATAATTTTATTCCACGACTTAATTCTCTAAAGAAAACTTTCCAATCTACCTGTACAGGCATTGTTTAAAACTCGGAAACGATAAAATTTTGTGTTAATGATGCACTTAAGATTACGGCATCTAATAACGTTTAATCCACAGTAATTGTGTTGGGTCTTTGTGGATGTTGAAGATAAGGGACAATTGAAAGTTTTATGATATCAATGTCCAATGATACTCTAGATTGAATAGAATGTAATTTAACTACGGCGTACTATACTATATAACGTATATAATAGTGGTCACGGGGTGAAGGTGGAGAGGGATGAATATTTTTTTTTACTGTTTCTTTCGTCCTTTTGTCTCAGAGCTTGTATATTCCTAAAGCCTTCCTCGATAAATGGTCTATTCAACACTAAAGTAATTTTCAATCGGAACCTGTATCTGCTGAATTTAGTGCGTTGAAACAAATTCTTCATCTATATAATATTAGTATGGGTATTATACCAGTTGATGTATTATTTTAAACATAGACTATTTTTTATGTTAGAAGAGGACAATCATGGCATGGAGTTCACTTGATGGTAGGTGATATAACCTGATGCGCTATCGACCTATATTGGCTTTGGATATTCGGAAATCCACAGACTGAAGCCGAAGCGTGATTAAGTTTTACGGCGTTTCATCTGTGGACGGTGGTTCGTGGCCCGAACGGATCGTATATAATATTAGCTGATCGAAATCTATTTCATCCTTGTACACCGACTGCTGACCTATATAAATGTTGACAGTAGGTAGGTACGGCTTGACGTCAGCAGATTGAAAATCTTATGATGTACTCGTTATAAAAGTTTACGCCTACAATCACCTTTAACTGTAGTTATTTATAGGACGACTAGGTTTCGCCCGCGTCGATACGCGCGATATAATTGTATTACTTCATTTATTCGCGTAAATTAATACGAAAGTTGTTAACTATAAAATTATATTTTTATTATGATTTATACTCTTGCATTATAATACAATGATTAAGCTTAGTAGTAGTGAAATCCCGTTTCCCCCTCTTGGGGCATAGGGCGAACCCGTTTTTGTGTTCGTTTCACTGATCCGTTCTTTAACAGGCAAGTAGTTGATCAGACTTCTGTGCCCTGCCCGACGGAAACAATTTTTGTGTTTTCCTGGGATTCGAACCTAGGGCCTTTCGCGCTTAACGCAATGCTAGGCAATATGTTTAACCATTTGGCTACAGAGGCGGTTAGTTTAGCTTAGTGTTGCCTGTAATTCACGCGAGTAGTACAAATTTTAAACCCTTCGAACGCGAAATATATTGTTTATTTACCTTACTACCCAACCACGGCTGTGAAGCATTCGAAACCTGCTTAATATGCATTTTTAGTGTAACGAATATATTTCACGTTTTAAAACGTTTATTTAAATATATTCATACATATAAAGCATATCTTTAAATCGAGTAAGGCCTACCAAGTAGTATTAGACAACATATTTACATACATTGCTATTTTAATCCAAAGTGTGATAAACGACCAACATTTTTCGTTTATGCTCAGTACACAGTAAATTACAATATAACATATACTTTACCAGCGTCGTAAAACGCGGTAACCCTAAGTTCGGGGTAAACTCATCTGAAACAGTATTATCGTGTATTATACGAAGACATCCCTGTAATACGCGAAAAAGCCCTTGAATCATGAAGAGATTTTTAGCTCCTTACCTAACACGTGATGTTAGTTAAGCATTGTATGTAGTTTATGCGAGTAGTACATTGACGTAAAACTCTTTAAACGTCAGCAACGCATTTCCGATTGTATATGCAAAAATAGGCCCACAACGCATTTCCGCTGCCTCTAGCTCCAAATGTCAGTAAACATAAGGTTAGGTTAGCCGCCTATAACAAAAATCTGTTGCTTTGTTCTCTCTTGTTATTTCGTCTCAATGACAGTCTCGTATATGTCGCGTTTTAAACCGTTAAAGCGTTTTATTTAAATGTGTACTATTTGCGTACACAATAGACATTATTTAACAAGATACCTTTCACGTCTAACATGACGAATAACTCATAGCATCTAAATAGTAAACTAGGCATATGGCGTTTATTGGAGACCACAGCCTAAACATACCCCCGTCTCCCGTCTGGCAGGCTTCCAAACGCTCTCCTGACATTGAACCCACGATGCCACTTTTCCCTTTTATTATACGTTTCATGTTTTAAAAGAGTGTTATTATAATACTAGTGTTGTACCACGACCGAGTAACTACGTTATTTGATCGTACGTTGCCAAGAATTACTAAAATTGGCAATTCTTGTAAACTACTGCCCCAGACATTTAGGATGCTTTGCAGCAGCACTGTAAATAAGTAAACTAATACATTTCACGTTTTAAACCGTTAAAAGTGTTTTATGATAATCTTAACTTCACCACAGTTGATTGTTATGTCTTATTTGGCGATTTCTAGATATTTAAGTATTGTCCGTATTTTACGCGAGTGTTGCTGTCACACACAGTCCCCCAAGCACCACCCCCGCCATGATGGCGCTGCTCTGCTGTGAGCATCTATGCGAATCATCGACTTGAAGTAAAATAATTGAACAAATACATGTTTTAAACCGTTTACTTCCTGATATATAGTAAAAAAGTAACGATATTACAAGTTATTATGTTATACGTAAATAAAAAATAGTACTCGTAGAAATAAAGCAACAAGCTTTGCTGCACCTCCGAACAGGTTGTAATGTCAATGTTTCGGGTTTCACGATGAAAGTGGATGAGAATTAAACCCTTGGCAAGGTGCCACCTCAGCTATCTGAAGTGGTTGGCTAAAGGGCCCTGATCGGAAATGTAGGTGGTAATTGATACTCGTTCGTGGCTAATTGCTCACTTCTTTGGGTGTGGCTTGTGAAAACTCTTCATTCTACAACTACCTGTGCCCGCGGCTTCGTCTGCGTAAAATAGGTATTTTGGGTAGGAGTTTTAAATTTTTAACTTTAAATTGTTCTAAAAAACCCCCCCCGGGCTTTTTAAATTATAGCTGTTTCCCTGTGTTCTATATTATATCTGGTAAAAAGTATACTATCGTGGACATGTTTTTAGATCATATAGAGATAAATCATTATTGAAGCGTTTTAGCAGCAAGATGAGTTATTTTCTCCGTTGCGTCCGCTG